TTTCTTGTAACTTGATTGGAGGGTCAGGTGTTGTCATGCCACGCCCCCTTAGTTCTCAACTGACCCATGTAAGGGGTACATGTGCATGCCTTCTTTCTACCTGTCCTAGACCAGGCTGTCTGATGGCAACAATACAGAGTGGGGGGAGAAGGGAACTATGGGGAGAACAGAGGACATCTAAACTACATTAACATAACTATACATTAATAAAGCTTCTCTTAATTTTCACACAATATTAATCTCTTAATTGCAAGAGCCAATCATCTCATTATCTAGCCATAACAATTAGTTATGGCTTTAGTTTGTCTACTGGTCCAGCAGCAGAAAGCACAGAATTGTGCTAGGTTATATGGACATTCTGTATCAGATTAAAAATTGTAATAATAATTTTTAAAGTAGGTACAAGAGTAGAAACATAATTTTTAAAACTTAGGCTTTGATGACTTAGTTGAGTGACATGGAGTATGACATCATCAGGCAAATTTTTTCTGTGTCAGAAGACACATGAAACGTACCATAAACCCACAGAAGGGTTTTTTTTTTTGTTTATTCTATTTTGCCTTTTTTGTGGTCCAAAATGAAATACTAGTCTGGATTTAAGATTTTTGCCTATCAACCCTCACAAACTGAGTTACGTTCAGAAATCAAGCAACAGAAAGTATAGATTTTTGGAGTGCTTCGGTTACAGCAACTAGATTTCAGAAGAAATGCAGCTTAATGATATGTCTGAAACTACATTAGAAGTTCTAATTTTTATGTTTCACTCAGCTCACACTTGAGAAGTGTTTAAACAGACAAAATTTCAGAGACCTAAGGAAAAGGTGATTTGCTTGTCAAGCATTGAAATGGGCTGCCCAAGGAAGTGGCTGAGTCACTGTTCCTCGTAGTTTTTAAAATATGTGTAGGTGTGGTGCTTAGGGACATTGTTTAGTGGTGAATTCGGCAGTGTTAAGTTCATGATTGGGCTCAAGGCTCTATTCCACCCTACATGATTCTGTGATTTGACTATCTTAAAGCTTCTTCATAGAGTTCAAGGGGATAAGGTTAAGATAAACCATAGGTGGCTTAAGACTTACAGCTTCACAGCATTTGTGAAAAGTGTTAATCCTGTCTTTAGTTCTTGTTTTCTAATGAATAATTTCTTTTCTATTGAATCTTCTTTTGAAGAAGGGATGAGGTAAAGATTTAGATAGTTTGTTTGGTTAATTTCACCACAGATGTTGTCTCTGTGTTGAGATTCTGAAACTAGTTCTTTCTGCTGAATGGTGTAATACATGTCAATTTGACTTACATGTTAATAAGAGTCACTGTATATCTAGACATATTAAATAAGCATACTTCAAAAAGTGATGGTTTTAAATTTGAAATAAAGGTGATTTTGTTGACAGCAGTGATGAAACCTCAAAGGTGTTCATAGGTGTTTTTTATGAATATATTAACAAAAAGAGGACCAAGGAAAATCTATCCTTTATTGGATGTGAAGGGTAACATTGTAACAAAGAATGAGGAAATCTGAGCTGCCTTTTCTGCCTCAGTCTACAACAGAAAGACCATTTATCCTCATGGTAACCAGCCCCTGGAGCTGGTAGTGAGAGATGGGGAGCAGAACTAACCCCCTGTAATCTAGAAAATGTAGTCAGTAATCCATTGAGCCACTTAGACCCTCACAAGTGTATGGGGCTGGATGGAACCCACTAGAGGGTACTGGGGGAACTGGCAGAAGAGCTTGCCAAGTTGTTCTCTATCATTATTGTTAGTTCTGATAAACTGGCGAGGTTCCAGACAACTGGAGGTTAGCCACTGTGGTACATGTATGAAGTTCAGGAAGGCAAAGTGCCAGGTCATGCACAACAGCCCCATGCAACTTTGCAGGCTGGGAGAAGAGTGGCTTGAAAGTGGCTCTTCAAAATAGGACCTCAGAGTGCAGGTCAACGCTTATTGAATATGAGCCAGTGGTGTGCCCAGGTGGACAAGAAGGCCAATGGCATCCTGGCCTCTATTGAAAATAGCGTGGCCAGCAGGACTAGGGAAGTGATTGTTGCTCTGTACTTGGCACTGTTAAGGCCACACCTTGAGTTTTGTGTCCAGTTTTGGGCCCCTCTCTTTAAGAAAGATATTGAGTTGCCAAGTGTGTCCAGAGAAGGGCAATGAAACTGGTGAAAGGTCTGGAGCACAAGTCTGATGACAAGTGGCTGAGGGAGCTGGAGTCATTCAGCCTGAAGAAAAGGAAGCTCTGGAGGTACCTTATCAATCTATAACTACCTGGAAGGAGTTGTAGTAGGTTAGGAGTTGACCTCTTCTCCCAGGCAACTGGCAATATGGCTAGAGGCAACTGGCAATATGGCTAGAGGAAATGGACTCAAACTGCACTAGGGGAGGCTCAGGTTGGACATGACGAAGAATATTTTTACTGTAAAGGTGGTTAAACATTGAAATGGACTGCCCAGGGAGGTGGTAGAGCCACCATCCTTGGGAGTGTTCAAGAAATGACTGCATATCACACTTAGTGCTATATTAAGTTGGCATGGTAGTGTTCAGTCAAAGTTTGGACCTTATCTTAGGGCTCTTTTCCAACCTTAATGTTTTTATAATTCTATGGTCCTAATGATTTTACGATAATTGTAGAAATAGTCAACAAACTGAAGATGACAGAGTACTTGTCAGTTTGCTTTTTTGGTCAATTTTTCAGTGTTGATTCTCTTTCAAGTGAAGCTAAAATAATATTTGACATGATCAGCATTACCTATTAAATTGCAAACATACACAAATACAAAAAGAGAACGGTGTTAGAGAAACAGGAGTTTATTGCAGTCTGTCACTACCATCAGAAAGCTTTAAAATAGGCAGAATATTGGTTGTAAGCACTGAAATAGGTTTCCTGTTCTTCAGTTCCTAAGTTCTGCATTTTCCCGTTTGAAGCCTGTTAGGTGTGTTTAACAAGACATGTTTGTTAGAGATGCTGTACTCTTTTTTGTGTTGGAGTATAACCAAGTAACTCTGTTCAGAAATAGAAATATAAAGGACAACTTCACAATTCTCCTACCTACAATTTAAAATACTGTGTAGTGCCGAGATACTGATTTTTATGCCCAGAACTAGTTAGCCAAAACTCTAGTCTTCAATTTCAGAATTTTGAATACTGAGTAACATTTTTTTTGCTACCCTTTTGTGTTTAGATTAATCTAATAATACCCACTGAAGGAGTAACTCCAGTGACATTATCCTCTATATGAATGCAAAACAATAATTGAAATTTCCCAGCTCACTTTTTGAAGAGTAATCCTTTTTGAAGGGATTGGAAGTACCCTGAAAGGAGTACTAATATTTTGTTAATAATTACAGGTACCGATGTCAGTTGGTGAGAAAGTCAATAGAAGTATGGTCTCAGCAAGACTGAAATCAAGCAACCTTATTTTTATTTTAACTTGAGAACATACCTTTTAATGAATGGCTTATAAAAACTTCAGCAGAAATAATGGGGTGATTTCAGGAATGGAGCTAAAAGAAAAACAATGTTCCAAAAATCTTGGAAAGAAAATGCCATGTCTTAAGCAAGAAATCCTAGTGCTCATATGCTTTAGCAAAATGGTAAGAGAAATCAGGATTCAGGGCAGAGTTACTCTTTTGTTGTCTGTGAAAAAACTAATTGAATCTTTCTCTTAAGTACAGTGGAGCTCATTAAAGTGGAGCCCAAAATGCCAATTGCTCAGATAACCTTGTACAAAACCAGCATGTTCCATATACTGTGAAACATCTCAAGGTGTTAGTTCATGACGGAAATGCTTTTGTGTTGACAGTGTCCTTCTGCTGACCTTGCATTAGCCTTTGCTAATTAGGAAGAGGGGCACCTAACCAGGCTGTAGGACTTGAAGTAGTGGGAGACCAAATATAAACTGTAGAGAAACAGAAAATGAAAGTTGGAGGATGTGGATAGAAGAAGATATATTAGATGTGTGAATTCATCACCATTTCTTTTCTGGACTGAGGAACTAATTTTAGAGCCCTAATTTTTAGGACAGTTGCTATCTTCTGTGTCTCTTATGATGGTATGTGGTTTTTATGTCATGATACCCATAACTACAGTGATACTTTGGAGAGTGGTAGGAAATTAGTGATGGGAAATCCACAGTCCCTCTTAGGTTTGAGGGACTGAGATATATTTCTGTCTGGTTTACAAGCAAGATAATATGTTGTGCTGAGACTAGTGTACACATTTGCCGGAGCTTCTTGGATTTCATGTAGGGAGCAGAGGAAGGAGACAAGGGGAAAAGAGTACAGCTTGTTCTCCAACTGTTCCTTAATTCTGCAGTGAAGAGACTGTAGGTGCTAGTGCTGTAATCTGTGCATATAAGAACAAAAGGGCACACAGGCAAAGTGGTGCAGGCAAGGACCTGAGATTGTTTGGAAATGCCAGTGTTGTGACAGTATCAGCATGTAATAGTTTTTGTAGTTTGTGGGTTGAAAGGCAGTGAAAGTAATGCTGCATTTTTTGAGAGGTGTGCCAAAGCTACAGGTTAATGCAGTTTATATTTCAGTAAGGAATAGATTAAGTATAATATCATGGAAAGGTCCCCACAACCTTTACAATGTAGTTACTTTTGAATTGTATTTCATAAATCCCTGCCTCAGCTACTGGAGATTGAGGAACTCAGTAAAGTAATAAAAAGGTTAGCTGGAGGGTTATTTTATTCTATACTCAAAACCTTTATATGTAGTGCAATTATCAGGTGTTTTTAGGGAAACTAGAAAGGCTAGGGAAGAAATCAGTATGTGTGTTAAAGAGTAATACTTAAGAGATGGAACACTATACCAAGATTAGACTGCTAAGCTAAATCTCCTTAAATGTTTAACATCCACATGTCTGAGATGAACGCTGGGTTTGCAGCAACCTATGGTGTTATTTAGAACCAGCTCTTACAAGAGTCTTCTGACTATTCCTTTTATAGTATAATGTATCATTTTTTCCCCTGTTGTTTTTAATTGTGTTACTTTTCCACTAGGGGATGGGATTGCCAGGGAAAGTAGTCCATTTATTAACTGTGCAGAATTGGGCAGAGGAAACATGTATGAAGGAAAGAATATGGCTCTCTTTGAGGTAAGTTAAATACTCCAAAAACATATTTTACCTTTAATGGAGATGAGCAATCACCTGTTTTCTTTCTGTCTTAAAATTTAGTTGGGGGGGGGGGGAAATGAGTTTTAATAACTTTTTCATAGTTTAGTTCCTGCTAACATTCCATTTCAGTGGACTTGAATGGTATATAGGCAAGAAGAGTAAATATTGGTATGCATTAATGTGAAGATATGATATAAGTCTTTATCCATTTAAATATTTTGGGCTAGGATCTAGACATAGTTAGACAAAGCTACTGGAAGTTAAATCTATTTTTTAAAGAAAGCAGTATTCAGTTTTAAAAGGATTAGCAAAATAATTTGTTCAATCGGGAATTACAGACTTTTTGTTAAGCAGCAATGCTATAAAACAAATTTACAAGCCATGACTTAGTAGTATTGTCCAACTACAATGTAGCGCACACCATAGCAATTTCTAGTGTAAATATCTACTTCATAATGGATGTTTCATACCTTTATAATCAACTGATTATTACAATCAAATTACTAAAAAAAGTGTATTAATTGAGTACTTTTAAGGGCCACTTTTGCATTTAAGTAGTATTTCTAGTAAAAACCTTAGTTGCTCTGCTCTAGCAGCATCAACTAGTCTTGCTCTGATGCTTGCTGTTAACAAAAACAAGGTGCTTCCAACATTGTTTAGCTACCTTACTGTTGCATTCCTCTCAATAATTTCTTGTTGTTCTCTTACATTTCCCTCTTCTTCATTTCAAGTATCTTTGCACAGGACATGGTCTTTCATCTCACCTGTGCATGACCCAAATAATACATATTTACTATTTTTCACTGTTTTAGAGAAAATTTTGCTAATGATCAAAGTAATGTTGATCATTACTTGTCTTTTTCTCATGTATGCAATATCTTAGTATTTTTGACAGGAATGCTTTTAAAGTTCTGTCATTGATTTTTACTCCTTCAAGCTCTATTCCATAAAGCCATTTCCAAAACTTTATGTGGTTCAAATTAGTTGCTTTATTCCTCAGTGATGATAATTTGGCCATAGCTGTTTTTTGTCCCGAATCTGTTATTTTGAAATATGGCTTACATTTAATCAACTGATATAAAACCATTATTTTTATGTATCTCAAGTTATAGATATTGCTGTTAACAGTATCACGTTGAAAGCCTTCTAGTGACTGTCACTGCTGGTGTTTTTGTGGTGAAATTTTTTGATACTATGTATGTTTCAGAGTAAGTTTCCTATAATCTTGTTTTTCTCATGTTTTCAGATGTGAGAGTTGTATAAACCATTAAAAAGAAGTTTGACTATTATGAGCATTATCATTACCTAATCTCCCAGGCAGAGATACTTACTTCTTGTCTGTGTTTGTTGCCCTGATCTCGTCTTCTTTCCAGTGTTCAATTTTTTGTATTTAATTGAATTCTCTTGGATCCATTTTTCTTGGAATTCTTGTATTGTATATTGTTCTGGATTGTATGATTTGTTTTAGCATGCTTTTGTTTTGTAGCAGTAAAGAAAGATGGGCTGACCTCTGTGTCAGGTGCTATTACATATGTGCAATTATATGTAATATGCATACATGTGGGTATTTTCAACAGGTTAACACTTTGGAAGTAGTATGCCTTATGTAAGATAAAATATGTAAGCCTGCAGCACTAGACTTCAGAGAGGTACTTAAATACTTTAGTGCTTGAGAAATCATTTCAAGTCACTTTCTAAACACAAGCAAGATGCTGGAAAAACACCCTAATGACTCATCCCTACAAGTACAATCCACTAAAGACTGTGCTCTGATAAAAATAGATTTTTAAAATTACAGTGGAATTTCTCTAGGTTTTCATTATATTTGAGCTGCATATTGTAAGGTAGTGTAAAAACATGAAAGAAATGGTGCAACATAGCATGTAGAGTTAAACTTCTAGAAATAGTAGAACTTTCTTGTTGTTTGAAAGCTGAATGTCATGCTAATTTTTTATTTGGCTGAATCAGGGCTGACCTGTTGAGTATGTTTGAAGTGGTATCATAAAATTATGACTTAAAAAGAAAATTTATTTAATAAATGCAGTATTCTTCAAAACCCAACAGGAAGAAATGGATAGTAACCCTATGGTGTCATCTCTTCTGAATAAACTAGCAAACTACACTAATCTAACTCAAGGAGTGGTGGAACATGAAGCAGATGAAGACAGCAAACGAAAGGAAGTCAAGGTATTTAGATTTCTGATAATTTATCAAGATAAAGCTTGATAAGAGGTGCATTTTTCAACCTGAAAAGAGAATATGTGGACACCTAAAGATGGGAGTGAGGATTGTAATACCATGTTTAGAACTGAAGCATTTGCAGCAGGACTTGTGTTAATTTGATGTTCTTGTTAGCATGTTTTAGCAAAACTGTGCTGTAAAAATCCCTAGGTAAAACACATGCAAAGCTAGGATCTGAAACATGGAGTATATCCAGTTTTTTCTTCCTTTCTTTTCTTCTTCCTTGTGAACTTGTGCAAGCATCAGTACTTGTTACCTACCTCTAGTGAGCGTACAGTAGGACTTTTTGCAGGTTTATTAATATATTTTAACTGCCTAGGTTTTTACGTATTATATTAAGGCAAATTTGCAATGAAACAGGTCACTCTTTTAATTCTATAAGCATATTTGCACCTCTTGGTACTACTACATGGTAGTAGTTTTTTTGAGTAGCTGTCTTGGTTTTGTGTGTTGGAGTAAGTATTTTTAAAACTTAATGGATGCATTCCAAGAAAACACTTTGTTGCAAACATCAAAAATATTATATGGGGGGGAGGGGAAGTCATATGCTCTGTTTGACACATTGCTAAACACACTTGCTAGAAGTGAACTGAATCCATTAATGGTTGTCTGTCTAATGGATACCCAAAATGTGTAGAAGTGGAATGTATGCAATAGTTGGAGTCTGCAGTGGCATGTTGGATTGATCCCTCTGTTAGCAGAGGGTGATTTTGAAGGGGAAAGCTTGGATTAAAGCATATGACCTGACAGAGTATAACAATGTATAGGCAAAGGAGGAATGATGAGATGCATGGTGACTGAAATGAAGAAAAATAAGGTAGATGCTGAGAAGGGACAGTGCTTGGAGTCACCTGTCTTTGTGTAGGAGAAGGGGTCCTGCTACTGAATTTATATGCTGAGCTATGAAGAAAAGAGGAGAAGTACGTGAGAATGAGAAAAAGGAAAATGAACACAGAGCAGAAAAGACAGAGATGAAAATATGTTTGAAAATAAGCTTAGGACAGCAGCTCATTTGACTGGAAGGAAGCTTTTGAGTGGAAGTTGGTACCAGGACAGTGGGCAAGGGTCAGGGATAAAGTCCAGTTGTTTGTTTAACTTTTTGTTTATCTTGCATTTGTTAATGAGTGTGTTTTCTTTCTGTTTGTCTAGTTGTGCTTGATCTATATTTGTGTCATGTCATCTGAAGATAAACTTCAGATATGAGAAAAGTAATGCTGATCTTCTCACACTTTCCTTACTGTGAACCCTGTTGTCTGTTCAGCTGCTGTGTCGAGGTTTTTGTCAATGCAGCACCGTGTTATTCCCTCTGAAGCTGACTGTGAACAAATTAACATCATGTCCTCACTTGCACTTGATCTTGTTTGTGCTCCATGTGGTGGCCTGATAAAACAGTTTTTATGTATGTTTTTTATGTATGTATGTTTATGTATATTTTAATTTCTGAAATTGTAAGAGTTAATAGCCTGTCAGAGTAGCATTTTAATGGTGTTATTGAGGCAGTGGAGTTGATGCTGCATATGGATAACGCCCAAGATGCTAAAAATAAAATATACAGTCTAAATGGCATTCTATGGTTTCTTATAAATACTTGGAAATGCAGTATTTTCTTAATAATTTTGATAACTTTTAAAGCATCAATACTTGCTTATTTATTTAAAACAATTGCCACTTTTCACAGCCCAAGTTGTGATTTAAGACTATCTTGTGTAACTGGAAAGCTACTGTGTATAACTGTTGATTTTAAATAGAGTATTTCAAAGCCTGATTTCCCTTCATAAGTGTAGAAGACTGAAACTTTAGTGATGAAACCTGAATGCTGTTGTGTGTGTCTTGACCTATGGTGATCACTAGTAAATAAAAAGTACACATACGTTGTGACAGGTTTTAAAATTTTTGAAAAAAAGAAATTGTAGTCAGCTCTGCATTACTTAATGGTCTGTCTTAATACCTTGTTTGTCTTTTTTAAAAATTGAAATTATTATTGAGTGTAATTTTTTGTGCCAGCTATGTGGCAATTTGTGATCATCTTTTTTCAGAATACAAATGATATTTTGATTATGGCAGTAATTTATCTTTAACCTCTAACTTTAACTTGTAACTGGTATTTCCAAAAAAGTTTGTAGAGTGTTATGATCAACAGATAAAGGGCCATCCTATCCTTATCCAAGTGTCATCCTAATTCCTGTGGAACAAGAGAGTTTGTTATCACAAATAGTTTTCTCTCTTTTCAGGAATTTTTTTTTATAAATAGCATGTGAATATTTGCAAAGCTGAACACTCCGAAGCTACCATTCAGTTTCACTTGGCATTTGTTCATGGAGCATTTGTAATAAGTGTTTGGGGAATAAAGTGTTTATGGATTTAAATTTATTAGTGCAAAGGAATTTGTGTTCTTACTTTGTTTCCAGGGTCCACGAATGGGCACTTTTATTGGCGTATATCTTCCCTGTTTGCAAAACATCTTGGGAGTTATCCTTTTCCTGCGTTTAACATGGATTGTAGGGACAGCTGGAGTTCTTGAGTCTTTCATCATTGTGTTCATGTGTTGTGCTTGTGTAAGTTAAACTTATTTTATTTATTTTTTAAACTCTTGTCCAAATCCTCTGTTAAAAGAGTACTGACACCTTCTAATGTATGAGTATCAGGGAAAAAAATAACCATGTTTAATCATACTGGTAAAATTGTACTGATATTTAACCAATATGGTTGAATTGAGAAAAATGGGGTATATGTATAAGCAGTGAGTGTCACGTGTCAGTCTAACTCATATGAACAATCTTTTGAGTTGATCAAAGTAAGCTTTTGTTTGAAGTTTTATATAAGTTTCATTAAATCAGCCTTTAGCAAATATTTAATTATTTCCTTTGAGATCTCTTCTGCTTTTTTCAACTTCAGAACAAGCTGACTAATAAACTACAAATCAAATCCCACAGCATTGCATCCATAAAGTAATTTTTTAGAATATGAGAGCACTACTAGATGTTGTCATGATAACGTTACAATTAGTTTTCACTACTTTTTAAATTGAAATAATGAACATACTATTTTAAGTATATGCAATGGTCTGTATACTTCCAGTTAATTTTTAAAGACTGTGTCAAGTATAAGTTAACTAAATCTTCTGCTGAAAAGTTGAGTACTTGAGTTGCATGTATATCCCAAATTAAACATCTTGGGGGGTGGGGGGTGTGGAAATCTAGTTCCATTTGATTACTGTTTTGCTCAATCTTTTAAAAAAAACCCTCCAAAACTCTGGTATTTTAAATTTCCTGTATTTCATCTTTCCACAGACTATGCTAACTGCAATTTCCATGAGTGCTATAGCAACAAATGGTGTAGTTCCAGGTAATGAAGAATTTTATCTTACATGGCAAATTCTTAAATAATGGAAGTTTAAATCTGGGATAAGAAATTCTTATCATTCTCAAATATCAGAAGTAATGCCTTTGTATCAAATGCATTTTTTCTTTTAATTGATTTTATAAATAATTTTTAAATGTGAGATACAGTCTTTAAGACTGGGTCTTCTGGGAATTACCATCTGTAGCACAACTTTGTCATCAGTCATTTGATCCTGTTTTAATCAAAGATAAGATGTTATAAATTGAATTAATGGAGACTGGTCTTCACACAAAGCAAATTTCTTTACAAATAAGGGTACTACTTTTCTCTCCTGAATTCTCCTACATTCCAGCTAAACACGAGTTAGTTATGTTGTTTTCTGCAAGAATAGTAACTGGTGTCATGGCAAAAATATTTTTCTGTATAAACACTCTGGGTTCTGCCCATCTCCTTAAATTTTCAGGATAGACTGATAAATTGATTCGGCTTCATAAAGTAAGAGGATTTTTTTTTTTTAGTGGCAAAATCAGTTAGCTCTTGAAGCTCTTACCCTTTTCAGTTTCTCAGGACAATAACTGATAGTTCTGGTGTTCAGATATTGGTATGAACTCTGAACTTAAACTGAAGTTGTTGGGCTATAATAAAAGTAAAAGCTATAATTTGTGTAGGATGTAGAATAATTGTATTATAATTTTATTTCATGGATACAGTACCATATATGAAATAAAAAAATCAAGAGACAATTTTGTTTAAAATACTTGCGTTTTATAATAAAATTGAGTTATTCAAATCAGTGCACAGATAACTAAAATGTTCTGCTCTGTTCCCCCTCATATTTTTAAAGTTCATCTTAATGGTTTTGTTTAACATCTCTCACAGACTTTGAAGCCTGCAGTTCTTACATGAGATAGGTCTCAATTTTCATTTTTTTAGTTGTTGGTGCCAGTTTCTTAGAGAAATTATGCTTGTCCTGGAATATATGGAGAAGGCAGAAAGCACAGATAAGAACCTAGGACTGAAGGAGACCTGAGGAGCAGGATCCTTTATTTTGTCTTTATATGCAAGAGCATTCATTATATTTAGTAAAAAGATTGGTGATGCATCATAGTATCTTAGTTTCTCATTCATTCATATTGAAAACACTGAAGTCTGTGGAACAAGCTGCCCAGGTGAATGATGGAATCACCATTTGTGGAAGTGTTCAAAAAACAAGGAGGTGTGGTGCTTAGGGAGAGGGTGTAGTGGTGGATCCTGTTAGGGTAGTGTTAGGTCAATAATAGGACTTAATGATCTTGGAGGTCTTTTCCAACTTAAACAATTCTGTGAAAAACAGCTTTAGACTCTGCACATTGATGTATGTTATTTAAAATTGCACACATCTTTCCTCTGTCTCTTTCTTCCCACAAGCAGGACAAAAATAATGAATTTAAGAGTAGATGTTTGCCTTGAGGGAGTTGGTTGACAGTCTAAAAGAAAGAGATGAGCTTGAAATTTAGGGCCTTATTAAAAGGCAAATAGTGCAATGGAAATAGGATGGTGTGGTGTAGTTTATGACTTAAAGAAAGATGATGCATACGTATGGGAAATAAGAGTGAGAAGAATTGAAGAACTCGGGGTAAAAGTGAATTTTATATAAGTGGACAAGAAAAAGCAATCCCTACCCAACACGTTTAAACAGTACTAAAAAAAAGTGATCTGAAGTGAAAGTGGCAATGGTTTAGTATACAGAAAATAGAAAGAATCAGTAGAAAATAATCTGTTTTGCTCTTGCCTCATAAAGCAATTATTTTGGAACTTTATTGTTTGATGGGGAACAGCTTAAGGTTAGAAGCTAAAAATTCATTCATATATATTTATACCTGTATATCCTTGTCTAATTTACTTCTGTTTAGCTTGTGGAATTTTTCCCCTTCTTTCTTTGCTCTTCGCTTTCTGTTCCACACATAATGCACACAGGGATATTAACTTGAAATGTACATTCTAACTATCTAGATGGTATACACATTGATTACAGTCTTGTCATGAGCATGTCAGTGGAGACACATGCAATGGTTATCTTGATTATGTTGAGTGAATGATTCAAATTTTTGTTCTCTACTGCCGTCCTTAATCTGAAGTACTGGAGATGTTTTGTGTTTCTTGTTTGTTTGTTTGTTTTGTTTGTTTTTTTGTTTGTTTGTTTTGTTTTGTTAAATTCACAGCTGGAGGCTCTTACTACATGATTTCAAGATCTTTAGGGCCAGAGTTTGGTGGAGCAGTGGGACTTTGTTTCTACTTGGGCACAACCTTTGCAGGAGCAATGTACATTCTTGGTACCATTGAAATTTTATTGGTAAGTACTACTCTCTATTAAGACTAAATGTATTTGGGCTGTTTTGGGATATTGCTGATGAATTTTCTTAATGGTCTAAAATGCATTCTAGTTTGGTGATCGTTAATGTTTTGGTACTACATTTTCAGGATGTTGATATTTATTTTTACTCTACTTGTGACTATTTGAGGAAGTTAAATTCTTATCAGTAATACAAAAATAAATTAAATGGTATTTGATGTGTGTTTATTTTATACAATGTGGGAACCAAGCAGAAATCTTCTCTTTCCAAATAATGGTTGGAAAGCATTACCAGGATAACTCACTGCTGCTCAGTGAAAAGTTGTGGAGAACATGAAGGGCATATCTGTGATGAGGAAATAATAATCTATCACACTTCCTCATTTCTGAACTACTGGCTTTGAATTTTCATATATTTGCAAAGATGCTGTGGAAGTCTGCCTGTGTGGCAGTGGCCTGGTTACTATGACTTTGCTCCATCCAGGAGGGGCCAATAATTGGTCATCAAATCAGAAACTGAAGATATGCACAGGAGATACTTAAGAATTCTTTCTTGTTACTTACTATGATCCATGTACTCAAATCCAGGCTTTTTTACATTTAAATTAGAGATAGTATTCACTAATGCTTGCTTGTGTGATCTGATCTGGCTTGTTGTCTGATCTATGGTAGTAATACAAGCATATGTTGAATTGTGGATTGAATTTGGTGCACTGTTCTCCCTATTAAGAGGGTCATGCTGGGTTTGTGTTGCTAATATAAATGTTCGAGATCCAGCTACAGAATTTGAAGTAAAATGCTGCCCAGGATATCTGTCAAAGACCTCAGAATGGACCCCTGACATAGCCACAAGCCATGAGTATTGCTTTTTTTTTTTTCTTCACTGGGGCATGGATTATTTGGAGAATCAGAAATCCGTCATCTGTCTGTGGATTTCCCTGGCAAAGGCTTTAAATAGCAGGGCAATAAAATCCACAAGAAAATTTTCTGGAGTACCTCCACAGAGAGTCTGAAACTTCTACAATGTCATAGTGTAAGATTTTCTAACAATATATACTTTATCTGTAATAATTTTTTAGTTTGCTTTCTTTTTCTTCCATGATGATGTGACAATTTCCATATCTTATAGCATTCTAGTAAATAGTAATTTACTAAACTTAAATTTAATCTAAGAAAATTCTGGTAAATAATTGTCTATGTCTATTTTTGGATTTTGCTTATGAATGCATCATGGTAGCCTCCTGTTCAAAGTTTCTTCCTGCCTTTAGAAATTATATTATTGAAAAATAGTCTTTGAGCAGTTTTTTTTTAAGGACTGGAGTTGCCTCAAGCCCTGGTAGCTGAGCAGAGACGGGTGTTTTTAGGGGTGCTAGAAGAAGGCATATAGATATTGTTGTGTAGTGTAGTAAACCAGTGTCTCAGAACTACAGATCAGTTGGTCTTCTCACACACATTTATCAATATAAGTGCTATTAACAGTTTCTAACTTCTTTTCAAGTACAACACACCAAAATTTAAGAAAGAGAGATCTGTAAGAGAATCTTGTTTGAAATTGCAGTAGTTTGAAATATCTGGTTTAGCACATGACTAAGCTTCTTCACAATACTCTTAAATTGTGCTGTTGCAACTTTAGATTAAAATTTTATGAAGTATTATATAAGGTCTATAATACTGAAAACATTTTTAGTTTATTATACTTTTGTTTGATTCTTCATATTTTGTTTCAATCAATGGAAGTCCTGTTTATGGTTTGGGTTTTTTCTTTTATTTTTGTCATGTTCCTACTTCCTTCTACCACCAAATTCCTTAGCCATTTTTCCCATTTGGCAGACACATGAATTTGAGAAGTGGAAGCTCTTTAACAGGAGATAAGAAGCTGGAGCAAAATTGTATCTTATTCTTAAACCTTGTTATTCTTCACCCTCACCCTTTTCCTTCCTTTATCTCTACAGTTTCTTGATGCCCAAATTATATGGCTAAACTCATTTCTGAAAGCAAAATGTATAGGAGGTTAGATTTTATAGTTCAAATAAATGATTTAATGAAATGTTCACTATTACATGTATGATAGTTCATCATATCTCTTGCAGACCTATATTTCTCCAAGTGCTGCTATATTTAAAGTGACAGATGTTGGTGAAGAAACAGAGGCTATGCTGAATAACATGAGAGTCTATGGAACATGTATTGTCATTCTGATGGCCATAGTAGTTTTTGTGGGAGTAAAGTATGTCAACAAACTTGCACTGGTCTTCCTTGCCTGTGTGATTCTTTCCATCATTGCCATATATGCTGGAGTTATTAAGACTGCTTTTGACCCACCTGACTTTCCGTAAGTGCAATATTGAAGTTGTGTGGGTTATTTAAAATAAAAAAAAGTGTGGGGAGGGAATAGCTACTGTAACCATTTCATGTTTTAACTAATTTTCAAAATACAAACACTTTGGTTTCAGTGGTAGGTTTATGTAGTTTAAATACCAATGTGGTCATTTGTTATTCTGAGTTACATATCTGAATATTTCTCTCATTTTTCATAAGATATGGTAACTCTAGAAAATGTTCTTTGGTGCTTAAAATTTGGCTGTTAGTTCATCCACACCCAAGGAGCAAGAAGGTGCATTTTGCTGACAGTAAATGTAACTGCTTTATCTAAAGATTTAAACTAAAAACCTACAGAATAATGTAAAAAGGTCAAGAAACCATTGTAGCTATTAGCCATACTTATAAAAACCCCATAAATTTAAACTTTCTGTGTTATGAAGAAATTTTAGAAACTTCTATTTCTCCCTACTTAAAAATGGTACGTTGAAGTGTTTAAATTCACTTGTGTTTGTGAATGCTTTCCCATTAATAAAATAAAATGTTATTGTTATGCATGACACATTGCTTCTCAAGGTCCTTGATGTGCTTAATTCTTAGCTCAATAGGAGCTACTCTACTCCAGTTATTAGCTGCATTTTACTTTACCCAGTTATATGAGTTGCATTTTTGCATATTTTTCAGTTGAAAGAGGAAACAAAATTATATTGCTTAAGATATGATCGGAATAGGCTGATAACTTCAATCTTGCATGGCACTTCATAGTGAGAGTTATCCTTTGCTGTATGATTGTTACAAATTCAATATTACTTTGAAGTGTTGGTAATTACATTACAAATTGAGCATTAGAACAATACTTGTGGATTGTTCTGTAACATTATTTTACATGTAATATATGAAATGTTGACATATTTCTGAATAAAACTTATGTTTCTTAGAGTAACTTGCAGTGGGGAAACAGTAATCTTTTTTTCGCCTGTATAGATAAAAGAGAGTTTATGTGGATATGTAGCATGGGTGAGACTCATTACCAAGTCCCTGGAGACTTTATATGTGGCTACTACTGTAATATTATTGTATTGGGGGGGAAAATATAAAAAGAGTTTATTTTTCACTAAATATAATGGTTTACAACTGCCTCAAAATGAGAAACTCAAGTATGGTTTTATGTAGTGGTAAGACTGATCTGATGGTGGTAGTTTAAAAACTCAAACAAAACAGCTTCTACTTGGCTGGTTAGTTAGGCTGGTATCACTAACCTCCATTAAGTTTGTCCATTGTGTAGGTGGTAAAATAGTTTACCTCAAGATCTCCCAGTTGAATCAAACTGAAAGAAGTTTCCATTGCTTGTATCATTTGACCCTCCTGCTATTGAGTCATCAAAGCAGTAGCAATTAAAAAGAAAAATAAGCAAGGCAAGTGACAAGATGATCTCTTTAGGAACAGTTTTCTGTTAAATCTGCTCAAATTCCATGAGATGCAATATCTTGAAGCTGCACTGGTGTATCTGCCTAACCCCCATGTTATATTTGATGTTCCTTCTTTTGTCTTCAAAGACCTATATCATTCAAATTTTAAGCAAGCCTGGAATCTTAAACATCTTTTGTACAGTTTAACGAATAAATATACCTAGATCCTTAATGTTGTCTGCTGGTAGGAATTTGCTTTGACAGCTGTTCAGACTTTTCTAATTCTCTTTCATTCCCGAAAAAAAAGTTTGCTTCCCCAATACATGATTCTTTAATTTATACTCCCATAACTGTTGTTAAATTTTGCTGTTTAACCTTCCTGGCTTATTTCGTACCTTTTGGACTGTAATGTTTTTGAGGATCATCTAAAGTTTTCAGTTGCTTGAAAAGGAAGAGAATGGTTTACTTGCTTAATTTTACTTTTATATTTTCTTCATCAGACTCATCTTTTAATTATGTTTATAAAGTATTACTTAATTTTACTTCTTTATTGTAGGACTGAATGCATCATAATTGCTGTTATTTAGTGGGCAAGTTGCTTAAATTGATTGTACTTTCTGAAGAACAAATCAGGAGGCAAAATAGCTGCCAATACCATAAAGAAGAAATATTTGATCCATAGTTTTAAGACTATTGATGATAGTTTTAGATGTAGAAACTATATACTGTTTTAGTAGATGTAGTATAGGCCTTAAGGTAGACAGTGTAAGTAACATGTTTCTGAAGAAGTCTAATGGACAAAAAATGCCTTAATTCACAGCCTTGTATTGAAGGAACACTGATTTTATTTTTCTTGTTTGTAGTATCTGTCTCCTTGGAAACCGTACATTGTCAAAACGCAGCTTTGATGTCTGTGCCAAATTTACTGAAAGCAATAATGAAACAAAGACTACACCTTTGTGGCGCCTGTTCTGTGATAGTTCTTTGCTTAATGCTACATGTGATGACTACTTTAGTCTCAATAATGTAACAGAAATTCAAGGAATTCCAGGAATAATGAGTGGAGTTCTAACTGGTAAGTTGGAAAGCACAGTGATTTAGAAGTTTTTGGACAGTATCAAGTGCTTTAATTTGGGGGTAATTGGAGTTTTATAGGTACTCTTTCAAAAGCCATTGTTCAATCAAAAAGGTGATAAAGAGCTCATCGCAGCTTTTTTTTTTTTTTTAATATGTATGCCAAACATTTCAATAAGCCATTCATTAATATATTTTCAAACTCTCCTGAGGGAGAACTTGTTTCCAGTTCACAGGTGGTGCAATGAGAATGAAGTTCTGTGGATTTTCCAATGTGTACAAGTTAGTGATTGAATTGGAGAAGAGCAGTCTACAAAGTGTATAGATTTTATTCTCTTTACAAATCTGTATGGTTGTAGCAGCTTGGAATTCAGATTGCATCAAGTCATAGGATTCATCTTAAATGTGTAATAATTCGTGTTGTACATATGCAAATAATGTTTCTGGGAATGAAATGGATACTCTGATACCTCTCCTTTGCATTCCCTTAAAATCGTGCTGCCATAGTACTCCAGTTTAAAATATCACATATAAAATGTACAAATACATTAAAAGATACTAAATGAAACATAGGCTTCTCTGAATCTAAATTTGTGTTTTTTAAAAAAAATTCTCAATGAAAAATGAAATTACTTGCTTGTTGCAAGAAATGTAACTTAGAGTTTGTTCTCCGAGTTTTATGATTTACCATATGCATATCTACAATTTTTCGTGAATAATTTTGCACTTCCTGTCCCAGCTCACAAGTTAGCTGCAAGTTACAATTTTGTGCTACCCTGTAAGATATAAGTTGTTCTTTTACTTTTTGGAGGTTTGAGGCTGAGTACTATTTTTTTTCCTTGTTCCCTTCACTGTTTAATGTTTCATTCAACAAACAATCCTGTACAAAAGTATATTTTGCTAATTTATTCTCACATAATGTTAAGATCTCTAAAGACCAGGAGTCTGCTGAAAGCTCATTGTGAGCGACATGCTTTCCAGTATTCACTGCTCTTTGCTTACATGTAATGAATTTCATCAATTCCTTTACGTTTACTCATGGAATCTGATATGTTTTTTGGGTTTTTTTTGGTGGTTTTGTTTTTGTTTTTTTTTAAGTTCCTTGTAGTTATTTTTCCTTCTACAACCTAGAATTAACTGATAATTGCCAGCAGGTTCTCATCTTGGTGCTAGCTCCTATTTTTGGCCTGTTTGAGTGTACTGGATAGCACTGGTTACATCCTGATGGTCATTCTTGTAGAAGTTTCCTGGTGGCTCTTTGGCATTACAAAGCTGTATTTCTATTTACTTTTACCTGTTGTTTTCTGTCTTTGAACTGTTTTTTTTTTTTTTTTAATCCATGTGAGGAGATTTCCTCTTATCCAATGTCTCGTATAGATTCCTTGGGTGAGGAATATTTTAATAACATGGGCAATATAGATGGACTGTTCCAAGTGTATTGCCTTCATTTATGTTTCACTTAAGGAATTTTAATACTTCTGACCATTTTCTTTTGCAAAAGCTAAGTTGAGGCTTCCCCAGTTTTTCAAAACTAAAGAAAAACTGTGAATAACTACTAAGTTTTGTCAGAAATAAAAAATAACTTCCCTGTTTATTGCCTCTGTCAACTGCTATTGTTGCTTTTGACTGTTCCTGTAGAGATGCTACTCATGAGTCCTTAGTTTCTGTGTCTCCCTGAAACACTTTTAATTTAATGAAATGGCTTTCCATTTGTCCTTGGGTATCAATACTATTTCACGTCAACCTCACATATTTCAGTGTTCTTGGAGATTTCAGGCTGAGTACTGCTTTTCCTGCTTTTGAAAACATACACTCTGCTTCTGTTCACTGATTAACATTTTTCTGAACAAGAGCTTCTCCATAACAATGCATTTCACTATCCTAGTTACACCTAGTGCTAAAACTAGGTGTCTTGCTGAGTGTGAGTACACATTCTGATACCTAGCTTCAGCTCTCATGGCAAAGATTTCTCAAGGAGGGTTCTTCCACTTGATGAATCTTCTGCCTTGTGTGAAGACTTTGGAGCTGCAGGCTCTGCACATTTCTTGAGCTGTGACTGGGAATATTCAGATGCCATGATTGGGTGCCTCAGGAAGTGTGCTAAGTCCTCACACCATTTATTGGGCACTCATGTAGGGTAAGTATTCATCTCTTATATAGCTTCTGTGAGTGTTGTCCTAACAATAATAAATCATTCTGCAAGTGGCTGGCTAAATAGGCCTATAACCCTAACAGAAATTATACAGTTCTTCTACTAGCTTTATCAACATTGTTCTGATGGTGATAGCATGTTCGTCTGATACACTGTACCCGTTCTTGTGTATGTACCCTAAATGTTAGCTGCTAGAGAAGCCTTAGCTATCAAGGAATGGTCCTAGAATGTCTGGACAAATGTCTGGGCTTTTCTGAAAAGTTATTATTTTTTCTCACTCTAACTTTGAAGTCCACTTGGATTATCACTTTTGGGAAATGAGCATAGGAAAGCGCTGTGTGACAAGTTATGAAACAGGAAAGTGATTTCTATTTAACAAAATATCTAAGCCGATTTTACCCATGTGCTGGCAGGCACAGTTCCACAGTTAAGCTGTATGTATTGCAGTGCTCAGGTCATTGTCACTTCTGTGTCATACTGAATAAAGGACACAAGCTGTTGAGTGCTTATTAAGAATTTAAGTGCATTTGATTGGCAATTCAAACTGATTTTTGGATTTTCTTCTTATGTTTCACAGGGGGTAGATAGATGCTAATTTGGAGATCTAGTCTTATTTTACATCACTCATCAAATCTCTGCTAAAATTCCTGAAATTTAAAATTCTCTTGTTTCATTAACTTCTTATGGCTTCAGTCTTATCTCTAGATCAGTCTGCTACTCCTCTTCATTTGATTGTAGTAATACACATAGCATTCCTTAGCGAATAATACCTAATTTTAATCTTTGCTCTGCTTTCTCTTCTGCTTCTCATGCATACTTCCATACATGCTTACCGATTGTAAGATTTAAAAAAAAAATCTGGGTATGAGTACCCTCTCTTTGGTCACTTATGGTTCAAAGTCCATCTTCTGTTGTGCTCAAGGTTACTTTTTGCTATTATAAAGGCTTAGAACACTGTACTTGAATTCTGTAGAGTTGTTCAGGATGCCTGTAAATCGACTATTCAATGATCGCATCAGTCCATGGGAATTTTTATTTCCTTACTGTAAAATCCTTTGCCTTCTTGACAGGCCAGAAGAGTATCTACTTTGTTTTCTCACATATGATAGGACAACTTGTCTCATTTTCAAGTAAGAATCAGTGTGGTCTGTTCTCACAATCTTATCAAGGTACACAACCAGTGTTTTCCACAAATTTAAGCTCTCAAAATTTACTCTTTGACCTATCACTCTTCAAACAAATGTGCTTAGTTTGCTGGGGCATTTGGGCCATATTCTGCTGGGGTTTTTTTGCTTATCAGTGATCTTCTGGAGTCTGGTTATCAAGCTTTTGTCACCATATGGAAATCTTTTGCCATTAACAGCTGAATCCTAAACTGTTATGCAGGATTATTCTGTATAGGAGGTGTCAAAGAACTCAAATTATGGTTAAGTAGCATTTCTTTTTCATGCTGCTCCTCAAAATACAAGAACAAGAAATATTAGTATATACCAAGATTCCTTGAACCTGGAGATAAGATTCCTTATTTTTTTCACAATAGGACATCTGTGTGCCTGTGCAATGTAAGTGTACATTCTAAAATGTGTTAGAATTTAATTCTATAACTATATTTTGCTTTAGAGGAAGAGAAGATTTTGCAGGACACATCTCACACTCTACTGCATTTTTACTAGCATGGACTGGAGTGCCCATGGTATTAATCATACTGGGAAATATCATGATTTTTGTGTAAGAAAAAGGCATCTGATTCCTAGGATTATTGCATTCTCACTAGTTGATGTCTTGAAACAGAGAGATGACACTGATTTTGTTTTTTCCCCCACCTTGCAGATAATCTCTGGAGTGCCTATTCAGAAAAAGGATCAATAGTTGAGAAAAAAGATCAGCCATCAGTTGCTGGATCAGAAGAATCAAAAATGGGTGGACTTCCTTATGTTTTTACAGACATCACGACCTACTTCACAATGCTTGTAGGGATTTATTTCCCATCTGTGACAGGTAGACACAACTATTTTTCTTGCATGAGGATGTGTACTTATATCTGGGAAAAAAATTTCATGTGCAATTTTTTCATTTTCACCAATCTTATAGGTGACTTATGCTGTTGCAAGTTTCTGTGTCTGAGGTTATGTACCTAAAACCTTCTGGTTCTAGGAAGACATAGGTCATGGCTGATGACTTTTGCAGGTTATAGGACTTAAACAAGAAATCTGTTTAAGGGCCATTTCTGTGTCTGGAAAGAAAGCAAAACCCTCATATGTTACTAAATGTTTATTCAAAATAAGGTGCCTTTATAACACTTTAATCTTCAAAGGCTTGGGAGAACAGTTTACTATTAAAATGATTCTTCCAGTGTCCAAGCTGCCTGGTTAACTGCCTGGGATTTGTTTGCATGTCCAATATTTTGCCACATTAACTGTGTAGACTTTTTTGTCAAGCCTAGACTAGTTGTATTTCATTTTCCTCAGCTCATGCTTGAATGAAAAAAACAGACATGTTTTTCTTCAAAAGTCCCAGCTGAAGTAATTGTAATATCATGTAAGAAAATAGAACTCCAATAAGAAGTTGCAGCACTGTTTGCTAGTTTATTATGGAGTCATCCCTTTGTATTCACTGTTTGAGCCCCACTGCTCCTATTTCTTTACTTCAGACTCTCACCAACATTTCATCACATCTGAACCCATGTTATTGTTTTATTCCATGGAGTTTGACAATGTTTTTGCACTGGAACATCTTGACATTAGCTTCCATATTTTTGCTTCCAGTGGTCAGGTCAATTCTAGAAGACATGTCAGAATTAGTTATTGTATAAGTTTCTTTCCCTCCTGTCACTGTATATGCTACAAAATAATTCTGTTCTCTTTTTAGATTCACATGCATGCGTACACGTGATTTTTCCAACCATTCTTTTTCTTGCCTGCTCCTTTCTTTTTTGCTTCTGAGGTTTTATTTGTTAGTTTATTTATTTGCTTGCTTATATTTGCTTGTTATTATGATGGTCTGTTGAGTAGAAAGTTAGTGCATTAAGTAATACTGGCTAAAATTACTAAGTCCCTATTAATTTATAACATCCATCCCTAGTAGCAAAATTGCTACTCCTTGTATTTCTTCATTTCAAGAATGATTCTGAGGTAATGTTTGAAAAATATTTGTTTTAATCTGTCTTTTTACTGACCTTCATAGGATTTGCTTACTCAAGTGGGTAGTAACACAGATTTCTGAATAAAATGAAGGTATAAATTGAGAATTTGTCAGGATTATAATATGCTTCTATAGCCTGCTTCATTCTCCAATCTTTGAGTTAAATTTGGCTTAAAATTAGATGTTCTTGTTTTCTTAGTTACTGTCATGGAGTTACTATTAATTGTTTTTATGACATAAATTTTGTTTCCTTTTAAGGTATTATGGCAGGTTCAAATAGATCTGGAGATCTGAAGGATGCTCAGAAATCTATTCCTACGGGAACAATTTTGGCTATTTCAACTACATCTTTTATTTGTATCCTTTATACTGTGACTTTTTTCTTAGTCTACATTCTCTAGATTCTGTAGGTATAACAGGTTTTTCACTGGAAATCATTAGAGTTTCCTGAGCAGGAAATGAATGAAATCTAAACTGAAAAGAAATCTTTTATATTTGTCTAAAATACCAGTATTATAATATATAGATGTAGATATAGATATAATTAAAATATGTCAAATTTTATTAACAAATATATATATTCTACTAGTGCTTCAAATTCCAATATGTAATTGATGGTTTTAGTCAAGTGATCTGAAGGTTTTTAGCATTAGGCTTCAGTTGGCAGATTGTTGTCATACTCAGGATAACCAGATCTTAAACCAAACAACCAGTAATAGTAGTTGTTGGTCCCTCAAAAGTACACAAGTACTTGCTTATTTGTATGAGAAAATGCCTGTCCTATTGCATGATATATGAGCTGGCTACTTCCAATACTTCACAAATCACTGTGAAATACAGTCATAAAGAACATAATTCTTCCCTGCTATGATTTTTTAGTTAAAAAAACAAACAAACAAACAAAAAAGCAGCCAGGAAACACACACACACATACTGCATTGTCATGGACATTTTCATTTCATACCTTAGTGAAAAAAGGTTGGGTTTCCTCTGTGTGATTTTTTAGAGAGTAATCTTCCTTCAGTCTCAGTAACAGATCTCTCCTGTATAGTGTTGTTTGGCGCCTGTATAGAAGGTGTAATATTAAGAGATAAGTAAGTAATATTCAACTTCTAATATTACATGCCGTATACATAATCATTTGTTATATTAGTAGGACTTACTAATGGCTCTTATGTGAAATATCTATGTGGTATATATTTCTTTTGCTTAGTTTAAATCTGGAGGGAAAGTGTGTCTGTTAAACTGAGATGGCTGCAAAAACTGGTCAGGTTATTAGACTGTATGCCTTTAAGAAGCAGAATCGAATCTAAGATAAATGTTTGAAGTTGAACCACCCTAATGAAATGTTCTTGATGAAGAAAATCCTAATTAGTATTTGCAGAGCTGATGGATAGGGATAAGGGGATATTATTTTGAGAGAAGTAACAGGTTTTTGAGGAACAAATTTAAAAATATGACAGTTACATGACAAGGGGAGTTTGTAAGACCACTGCCATGCACCATCAGACCCACGATTTTCACTAGACATATGGCTGTTTTTGTTTTAAAATCTCAGTAGTACATCAGGAGTCATGTCTATTTTCAACCATGTAATTGCCTGACAAATTTAAGGCATAATATGAAGAATGAAGGAAATAAATGTGATGGACATGAGTATGAAGAGAATCTTCATGTTTTGATCAATTTCTCCATTACGAGAAGTTGGTTAATATGAAACTGTTGTCAGGTTTCACAGTTGTTTTCTTGCTGGTGTCTGGTTCTCTTTTCTACTGAAGCTCATGTTTACTTAGGTGATAAAACAGTGTCATTGGGGTATTGTTTAAAAGGTGGTGAAGCTGATGCTGGGACAACTTATGTCATAAGTCTGGAAGAAAAACCATAAGTTAAAAGCTGGATTCTAATCAAACTAATACAAGAAGCAGCAGGGGATCCATGATAGGCTTTTGACACTCTCTCACAGCATTCTCATAGGCAAGCTCAATAACTGTGGACAGTGAGGATTGAGAAGTGGCTGACTGGCAAATCCCTGAGGGTCATGATCAGTGGCAGAGTCTAGTTGGACGCCTGTAACTAGTGTTGCCCCCTAGGGTTCTGTATTGGACCAGTGGTATGCACTTGTGGCCAAGAAGGCCAGTGTAATCCTATGGGAATAAATCATGCACACTCCATTTTCTTCATGCTGGAAAAGCCATTTCTTTGTTCACGTAACTCCTTTTTATACAGTGTAACAGAATGTGTGACTAGTGTGTGACTCCAATTGGTTGTTGTTATCGCTGGCCAGGGATCTATGTACAAACGACAAATAGGATGGGACTGCTAAGGAACGTGTCTCAAGCTGTTTTATTTTCCAGCATCAGTCTTGTTACATGGTTATGACAATGGGAAAATGCCAGCAGTTCATATCCCAGACAGCAGACGAAAAACTTAATGTTACAACTTACTTTAAAAGTTTTTTGACCAATCACACAAAGCAAAAGCATATTGACAGTAGTTCTATACAACCACTATAAGCACACGTACCTTTGGTTGAAACAATGCTTGCTTATTTCAAATACAATACCTGCTTGTAAGCCTTAAAACACAATGCAGAGAGCTCCATTACTAAGCTTAGAACTTCCTAATATCTTGCTAGGTATACTTTTCTACAGGTTAAGGAGTTAGTCTAGCCAAGCGTTAATACACAGACCATTGTTCTATTTGTCCCTATGTTTCTACTTCTTATATAATTTTTCTGTTGACAAATCTTATGGCTACTGCTTAGCTCTAATCACAGTTCTGCTGTCTCTGAGGCCTGTCTTTTGCAGCTTTCCCAAAGCCCTCTAGTTTTAAGGATTCTCACAAGTAGCTTTCTTGCCAATTACTTTATTGGTTAGTAACAAGTTGTTATCCTGTATTGATTGGTCACTGAAACTCCCAGTGTGTACATGCAGGAAATGCTGCTTTTGAGAGATAGTTTCCATTTTTCTATCTAATGGTGTAAAAACAGTTTATACAGGTGCTAGCTGTTTTTCACAGAGGAATAGATTCTTATGGTAACAAACTGCTCACACCAGGATTGCTTTCACATGGGAATTTGTAAAGTGCTATCTTGACAAGGCCAGCCACTGATTCCAGGAGAGCAGGCCTGATCTTATGAGGCCTTTCTTTTATGATTTTTCTACCTTACTGCAACATAATCCTGGTTTGTGTTAGGAGGAAAAGCATTTCCAGTAGGTCCAGGGAGATCATTCTGCCCCTCTACTCAGCCCTGGTGAGACTGCATTTGGTCTGCTGTGACCATTTCTGGGCTCCTCAGTACATGAGTGACATGGAGCCTCTGGAGGTCCAGTGGAGGGCTATGAAGATGATAAAGGGATTGGAGCATCCCTCTTATGAGGAAAAGCTGAGGGAACTGGGCCTGTTCAGCCTTAAGAAGAGACAACTAAGAGGGAATCTCATCAATGTATTTAAGTAACTAAAGGAGGGGTCCTAAGAAGATGGACCTGGGCTCTTGTTAGTGGTGCCAACCAACAGGACAAGAAGCAATGGGCAGAAACTGATGCACAGGAAGTTCCACATGAATATGAGGAAGAACTTCTTTACTGTACAAGTGATTGTGCACTGGAACAGATTGCCCAGAGAGGTTTTGGAATTTCTGCCACTGGAGATATTCAGGAATTGTCTGGACACAATCCTGTGCATTGTACTCTGCTTGAGCAAGGAGATTGGATCAGATGACCCACTGTGGTTCCTTCCAACATTATTCATTCTGTAATTTTTACTTTGAAGTGATATTGCTGCATCAGTGAAAATATCTGTTAGTTTTTTTGTTCATCATAAATATAAAAGCCAAATCAAACTGCCTAGGAAATGGTAAATGAATTCTGAAATAAGAAATTAAAGAAGAGCTAAACTCATATTTTTAAAATTTACAGGGCAAGGGGGGGTGAGGGAATTTTGTAAGCTCTTAGCTATCATTAGAGCAGATTTCATTGTAGCAAGAACCTTGAGTCCATGAACTTTCATTTACATTGCTGCCAGTTCTTATTTGGCTGAAATTCAGCTGAACAGTAAAGTGTGTGGATTTTTAATCTGGTCTAAAAACTGGGTTCTGAGGCTTTTTTTCATTATGATGGTCATATCTGCAATGGAAAAAAATAGGTTGTACATTTTTCTGTTTCTTGCATCTCTTGAAGTTACTCCTATCCTGTGTTTAGTTGAAAAATAGGCATTAGAATTTGAATGAAGAATAAATATACAGTTATAGAAATCTTTGTTATAGAAGCACAATATGGAGTTTTATCCTATAATTTTGAGAAGTGTGATTTAGCTTTTTTTTTTTCATCTGCTGAAAATAGTACGTAGTTGTATGGGCATAAGCAAGCATTTGAACACTGGCGCATTATATTCACTTCATTGCTATGTTTCTTGACCTTATTTTAAAAGAAGGTCTGAAAAGACAAAAAAAATTAATTTTCCTTAGTTTTTCTCTTCTCTTATTTCTGTAGACTTTTCCTTTTATTTAGAAAAAATGGAACACATTAGGAAAAAATAATGGTGGTATCATAGTAGAGATAGCCTTAAAATTAATTTTGGCTGCTTACTAACAACAGTAAGATGAACTATAAGAACTTTACTTGCTTTTAAAACAAAACTGCCAGTTTGAAGGAGGGGGTAGGGTGGAATAACTTATTTGTATTTTATTCAAGTCATGCCTAAATTAACATAAAGTTAGATATCTAGAAAAAGAAGTGGAGGTGGTATTGGATGGGACACTGAGGACTGTAATGAAAGCACCTCTTCCTGACTTCTACCCACTTGTTTGCTCTAGTAAATTAAAAATTGCATCAGGTTGCACAACAGCCAGAAGATGTGCAAAACTCAAAATGGTTATGTCTGGTAATTTCTCTATTTACTTATTGTATGTCAGTGTTACGTTTTTAAAAGGAAAGGCTAATACTTTTTGTGAATCTCCTGCTTATGCCCCAGGGTATGTTTGTATATATAGTGGAACAGATTTCTGCAAATTAGTTCCTAGCTCTCACGGGGATCTGTAAGATACAAATGTACATACTCTTGCTATTGTTTTAATTCAGAAACATTTGCCAAGATATCTGATAATTGCTGCATATCTGCTTAGAGGCAGCACTTAATGTGAAGTGATTATAATTAAATATAAACAGCACAATAAAGAGAGATTGCTTGGTTGGGAAATCCTATAGTGCATACTATAATACAGTGTTTACTGTCAAAAAAGTTCTGTTGTCCAGAAAGATTGAAATGTGGGTGTTGAAGCTATAGTAAAAGTTATTTTGATGCTTACGGATTCTTTTTTTGTTTGTTTTGTTGTAATTATTTTTGTTTCTCTTTTCTTTCCTAAGATTTGGAGAAGCAGTTAATGGAAATCTGGTGGTTGGTACACTGGCCTGGCCTTCTCCATGGGTTATTGTGATTGGTTCATTCTTTTCAACATGTGGTGCTGGTCTCCAGAGTCTCACTGGTGCACCCCGGCTATTGCAGGCCATTGCAAGAGATGGCATTGTACCGTTTATTCAAGTGAGATTTTTTTTCTTCATGTTCTTACAGTATTGTGAAAAAAAAAATTGACACATTATTTCTGCTGTTCCTGTAGAATGTGAAGAAAATATTTGTAGCTCAGTTCTATTTGTGTACAATAACAGATGAGGCTATTGCAGGAGAAAGTTTGATCTTCAATGTTTTTGTGCAGTACAATTTAATTATATTTGATTTTACACATAAAAGTTAGTGGTTCCAAACTGAGAATATAGTATTCTATAAATGGAAATAAATGAACTAAGAAGCAACTCATAACTGAACTTCTAGACTCTAGGGTGCGTTTACTGCTTGCATTTGTGAACAGAGTTATTTAATCTCACTATGGAACTGCATAAAACTTCTCATATTACAGAGATGAAATTCTAATTTTTATTCATTTTTCTAAGGTAAATTAAGTCAGTAAAAATGTAACAATAGAATTCTATCCCATGACTCCAAATATGAGATTTGTTCCAAGATCTCTGTACATGTTTTAAGAAGAAATAAATCAGATTTTTCTCAAAGTAAGGGAGCTGGCAAACAGAAGATGATGAGAGAATTCTTAGGCTCCTTCTGCAAAACGTAGACAACTACACTTGAGTTAAAAATAAGTAAATAAAACTCCAAAAGATTATACTGTCTGGAGAGTAAAGCTGTGATCTGTATGGTGAAGTCAGCTTACCTCAAGACTTGCAAGACTATCTGTAACAGGAAATAAATACACTAAGTATGCTAATGTGGAGGGACTGAGTAGTGGTGGAGTTTGACTTGTCAATGGAAAGGGGCTGTAATGCAGTAAATTGTAAGTTCTGGGTAGTATAGAGAAAAAGAAACAAGAAAGATTTACTTTTGCCTGAAGCAAAAATTTGGTAGAGAGAAGGTGACATGATTATACATCCTGAGAGTTAGACTTGAAAGGAATGAAGAATCAAAAGGAAAGATTTGTGGTTCGGGAAGTGAGAGAAAGAGAATTGAAGAGAAGCAGGATATTTAGAGAGGGGTTTGATGCTTGAGGATGTACTTGCTGTTTTGGAGAGATATTGTTAATGCATGGACAATCAAGGAAACACAAGGAGATTATTATAGAAGTAAAACTATGACGTATTTAAGAAAAAACCCAGGAGACTTGAAACATGAGTAGAAAAAAAGGGGTTTTTAATATAATAGTAGGAAAATTGATGGAGGACAGGAAGCTAAAAGAAGAGGTGTCGTAGGTTAAGAAAAAAGTGAGTTTTTTGGGAGGTTGTGGTCAAACCAATCAGTGCTGAGATTTGAATATTGGCACCTAGTTTAGCTACTGAAAGTATAGACCGCCTCTGAGAACACAGGGTTAAAAGAGCAGAGAACCCCCAGAAACTCGCTCTCCTAGTCCCTGTCATTGAAAAAGGTCGGAGCTCCCCTTCCCAGCTAGGGCTGGGTGGGCGAGAGGAAGCCATGCGGCCGGGTGAGGTAGGCTGAAGACTTGGGCAGAGGAGGGGGATGAAAGCTTTGCAAGATGGAAGAGTAGAAGAGCTCTGAGAGGCATTGGGCCCCCACTCCCACTTCCTCCCCCAGAGAGAGATAGAGGGAGAGAGCCAGTGCCTGTGCTACCTTAAGATTTAATATCGTGCTGGCAGCAAGGCTGGCCAGAAGTGGGGGATGCAGCTGGCCAGAAGTGGGGGATGCGGCACCAAGAAATCGCCGCCTTGGAAGTTCCGGGCAGACAGAGGCGAAGATTTTAACCCCTTTCTAAAATAATAAAAACCTTATAAATACTGATCCTCCTGAATCTGAATGAGGAGAGAGAGAAATGAAGCCGGAGGAAATGGGCAAGTGTAATGAAATTTAGTGCAAGTAAAAGATGTCAGCAGAGGTGAAAAGAATCCTAAGTGAGAAGAGATGATGGAGTGGCCTTGAGCTGGAGAGACCCATGTTTTTCCTGTGACACAGAGACTGCATTTAGGGGGAGGAAATGCCTTGAAGTCAAGAGAGTAAAGCAGTGGCATGAACAGAGACGGCTAAAGAAAATGTAAGATGCCCTGTCTTCAGTGAAGAAAAAAATCTCTGTTCACGAGGCCCCTCAGCCCCAGGGGGTAAATTTGGGGGGGGACTGGTGTCCCAAAACTAAAAGACTGCTACTTTTTTAGAACTGGGCAGGACATCCTTAGAAGAAGAACCCTAAAAGCAGTCCTGGTCCATGTGCAGTGGTGAGAGTACTGGACGTAAAGGGAAGAAGTCACAAAGGCAGATGTTCTCCCGGCAATGCCACGAGTGACATGGAAACACAAAAAGTTTCAATTGTGTTTCTAAGGGAAGCCTATAGTGCAAGGGGGGACTCCTCTCTCCCTGATAAACTTAAGAGTTGACTATTTAAAGAGTAGTGACAGACTGAAAATTGATTATCTGAGAGATAGTAATGGAGTAGAAATGTAAAATGTTATTTCATGCTGTAGAGGAAATGGAGAGAAGAAGAAGAATGTAATTAAAAATTTTCATTCTTAGTTCTGTCTGTTCCTTTTTAAATATTGTAGTTAATAAAGTTTTTTTCTTTATTCCTAAGTTAGAGCCTGCTTTGCTCTGTTCCTAATCACATCTCACAACAACCACTAAAAAAAGTATATTTTCATAAAAGCACTGGCATTGTGCCAACCTCAAACCATGACAAGAGAACAGCATGGAGAATGAATGAGGTCTTAATTTCTGTATTTGAATGGAGGAATATGGAGGAGAATAAATACCACTGGAACCTCAGGCATTTTGCCATCTGTCACCAGTAAGGCTGTATAGAATTCTCCACAAAGGAAATTACCACATACAAAATGGTTTTTGGTAGTGCTCTATGCAGGATCATAGCCCTGTCTAATTTTTCTTTAAGAGTCAATATTATGTTGGTAAGTACTGAATTGGCACCTACTTTCTATATTACAAAAAGTACTGGCCTAAACTATATTAGGTTTTTACTAGGCATAAATCTCTAATGCATAAGGTTTTTAATTTTCTTAAGAATATTTCAATAAGAGCTGCCATAGGACTTCAGTGTTATGTAGTCAATGCTTACTTTAGTAAGCATATTTAATACTGAAAATGTGTGCTTTGTTATTTTAATTTTGGCTTTTCATAGGATAGATTGCATCATTTTCCTTTGTAACTAATAACTATTTTTAGTTCGAGTTAGAACTAAGTAAGTTAGTTCATGATTTGCACCATAGTTTATTGCTGTATAAAGAACAGTTTTCCCTAATCTTACTGTGAACTTCAATTAAACTAGATATTTGGTCATGGAAAAGCAAATGGAGAACCAACTTGGGCTCTGCTCCTCACTGTTGGTATTTGTGAAATAGGAATTTTGATAGCCTCATTGGACAGTGTAGCACCGATTCTTTCAATGTAAGTATGAGTGTGATGTTTTATGTTCTTAAGTTAAATAGTATTTTCTTTTACAATTAGCCAGGTAATTATTTTTCTTTTTAAAATAATACAGGTTAGACTTTGTTTTCTATCAAATTATATTCCTATTTGATCCTGGAAATAATATGAAACAACAAAATCTTTTTGGCTGAACTAAATTCTAGGCACAAGGAAGTTTTTCCATGACAGAGGTCTGGAATACTAATAAAAATATGTTCAATTTTTAAAAAACTTGGATTTTAAAATAATAATTACTGCTATTTTAGGTCAAGTGCATCTACAGAGACAGACAAAATTCAGTCTTTTAGAATATGAACAGAATTTTAAAATTTATTTTGTCCAGAACATGATACCATCTGAGCTACTATAGAAAAAGAAAAAAATTAACTCTGTCCCAGCCAAAAATGATACATCATGATTGTTAGTTATTTGCCACGTTTGTCTCCAAAATATGTGTTTGAGTCTTTATATTATGATAATACTATATTTTGAGGCCTAATATTCTGTAAGCAATCTTAATGTGTGTCTTGTGTTCTCTTGGCCACTGTGAACATAGCATACAGAAAACTGTATGCTAGTATACAGGAAACTGGACACCTTCCTTCCCTGTTTTGGATTATGTTTATATTTTAATGCACATCTGTCTAGTATGTTTCTCATTAGAAAATGCTCTTCCTTTCTTAACAGGTTTTTCCTTATGTGCTATATGTTTGTAAATCTGGCTTGTGCAGTTCAGACGCTTTTGCGAACTCCCAACTGGAGACCTCGTTTCAAGTATTACCACTGGTAGGGAATATTTCTTCATTCAGAAGAGTTAAAACTAACTATAGTTAGTTAAAACTAACTAACTAACTAAATTGTTAATTTTATTGCAATAATAAAGCAAAATCTCCTTTCTGACTTAAATGAATTAAGATTCCTGCACTCAATAAGAGCATAATTTGTTTTCATGTTTTTAGAATAGTGCCATAGTAATAACAGTGATCATGAAAACATGTGGCTAATATAGATGGTTTGGAAAAGGGTTACAGGATGACATTTTTTTCTGCTTAGAAGCCAAGAGACCTTCTGTAGGAAAATGAGGATGAAAAACCATGAAATCTGCCTTGTATATACTTAAGGAGAACTGGTAAAAGTGTTCAGGAAGGTTAGGACAATTTTCATTTTGGTTATGCAAAAAATACACAAACCTAAAACTTCTACAGAAAAAAGTCTCATTCAGTATACATAATTTGGTTCACTGATGATGTGATGACTGGTTTTAAAATATGCTTTGGACATTGCATTTGATAACTCAAGTAAACCCTTTAAAAATTGAGTAATAACACAGAAGGTGAAAGTGTGGTTTTTTGATTTAATCTTTTTTTAATGGGTTAAGAGTTTAAACATCTCAAACTACGATTGGGAAATTTCTGGATTTTTTTCTAACTGTATGTTAAAAGTACATAATTAAAAATAATTCTATTGAGAAATTTTACTGCTGAAATAGCCTTAAATACTAGATCATTTAGTAGATAAGCTAGCGTGATTCTAGCATGTAAGAGTTGCTTATGATTTTTCCTTTTAAAGAGTTGAGCGAAAACAAAATGTTGCAGTTTTAGCTTTGAAAAAACTTGTTGAATCTGCCCTGTAGTTACGTACTAATTTGACAACTAACCATCCAAATATATACATTTGGCAACAATTCATTTTTATATTTTTCTTAGAGACATCAGTGAGCAGCTGACTCACTGTGTGTACTTCTAGCCAAAGCAGGTGTTGGAATGTTCAGCAAGAATTGGGATGACATTTTCTTTTCTGAGTGAAAGTAAGAGTATTAGATTTATTGAGGCATGAAAGAGTAGCAGCTGTTGTTCTTTTATACAAACTACAAGACTGATGTCGTCAGAACTTGTAGAAAGGATTCCCTTAGTTTAAAATTGAACTCAGTGCACTATACCAAACTAGAGGTACCAAACCAAAGTTAATTATATTTACACCCCATCAATATAGTCAAAGTTAGCTCTAATTTGGAAATTGGGTGAAAACTAATTTGGGAGGTTGTATATGATCAAAAGTATACACAAAACTGTCCATTTTGAGATGATTTATCTAAATTTGATAAATGTGGGCAAACAAGGCATATAGACTTAAGTTTGGAAATGCTTTTTGTAATTTTTTCAGCTTACATTCATTCTTCTTTGTAACATTTAGAAGATTGTTTTCTGAATTCTATTGACTTGTGTTATTGGCCAAGAGACAGACCACAACAGAAGTGAAGAACAGAACTGATGAGTCAAATTGAATTTAAACTAATCAACTATTTTTGCTGGAAGTAACAAAGTTGTTTTTTACTGTTTGAATTTTTTAGCTTAAATTCAAATCAACAGTACTATGTGATAATGTGTTTTGAAACTCAGCTGACTTGGAGGTACTGAAGTTTCAATACTGTATATACTACAAATGTAGAAAATCTATTGTTTTATCTAATTTAGATGCATTATTTATGTCACACAAAGGTTCTGAATGCAATTTTTTCATATAAGCTAAAATTGGGACAATGTATTTTTTTTAATAATAGTTGAAAAATAGCCTTTGAAGGTGAAAGGCCTTTCTAGAAATTAAATAAGAAATTAACTTTGTAGAACATTTGCATGCCTATTTAAAAAAATGGAAAAAATGGTTTCTTTTAGGACTCTTTCATTCCTGGGGATGAGTTTATGTCTTGCCTTGATGTTCATTTGCTCTTGGTACTATGCTTTGATTGCCATGCTAATCGCAGGATGTATATACAAATACATAGAATATAGAGGGTAAGACCATATATCTTATTTATTCTGTATTTAATATCTTTACCATTCAGCAAAAAGCTCTTTTCTATAAAATAGATACAATTGAAGTAACAAAGCTCAGAGTATTCTTTGAAACAAGGTAAGATCCAATCTTGGTTAAGGGTTGTAAGTTTTCTGATTTGAATTTCTCTGGAAGATCTGTTACATAGTTTTCATCAGCAAGAACTAACAGAAATAAGAAAAAGTAAGTCTGGGAAACTCTCTCTGGAGAAGAGATGATGGTGTAAACTTTTGGTACTTCAGAAACTTTACCTTTAAATATCATGTAGCAGCTATTAAAAAACTGTAAATTATTATTACCTTGTGCAGAAGCTCAAACTCACATTTTTGTGTGTGTGGATTTGATTACTTTCTAGAATTAATCTTTAAATTGCACCATACTTTGCACTGTATGCATTTGTCAAGAGACAGTCACACCTGTAGTACATGCTGAGCAACTATGAGTCTTAAAGTGCATGCTGTGTTCATAAAAAACTCCAAAAAAAACCCAACCCCAGCCAAGACCCCAACTAAACAACATATAGAAACACTACAGGTAATTATGATCAGTAAAGGTGCACGCTGTCCCTTCCTAAGGATAGATACCCTATGCTGAAAGAAAATACTAATATCTTGGAGCAGGAAATTGAAGCTAGGCCACTGTTTTGATGAGTGATTAAGCACAGCTCTTAAGTGGATCAGCTGGTATAAACTGTTCCACCCTGTGGATCCTCCATCTTTTAATATCTCCATTTCCAGATGAGATGCTTTCCTGGATTATAACATCTCCATTTACTGGGCTAATGATAAGGAAATTGATTTCCTGATTTTAGTGAGGAAGTCAGATCAGATGGTAACAGTTCTGCATGCATGTGTGTGTGTATATATATATATATATATATATATATGTAGGTTCATACATAAAATTATGCATAATTCCAAATTTATATATAAGTTCCACAAATGTTGGCACATGCCAGGACATTTACCTTGTTGAAGGAGATGCTTTACTAGAGGTAACTTAGTTCAGAGAAAATTCATGAGTGAAAATCAGAGGGAGGGAGGATGGGCAAGGGAGATGGACCCCTTGCCATTATAGAATCTATTCTCCTGACCACTTTCAATCATCAATATTCTATATTGGAATTAAAAGGACTGGAAAATGTAGGGAAACTGAAAATGGTCAGGAAAATGGATGGAGCTTTAGGCTTTTTGGGAGAGAAGCTGGGAAGGAAAGAAAGTGGAGAAGGCTATAAGTGGTGGTGTTGAGGGCAAAATAGGTTATACTAATCTATGTGAAGTCAAGTTTCACTTACTAATTTTGCTGCTTTACAATAATTTCTTTTAAGTATCCTTCTCTTATTTATTCTAGTGCTAAAAGCAACTTAAGTAGCTCTCATGATTACAAAAATACTTCTGAAGTATGAATAAAATAGACCATAGTAAATATTTACAAATATGGAAAAAATTACCTTGAAGAGGTCTGGAACTGCTTCACCTTAGTTAGTCTTCAACCTTGATTTAAGTCTACAAGACAAGGTTTTTCCATACATTCATGCAAAAAAAAAGTGATAATTTTTTACATCCATTATCCCCCACATGAGAAAAAGTATTTGATTTGTATAAATAAATGGGACCCTGTTAATTGAATCTCTTTTGTATCCTGAAGAGCGGAAAAAGAATGGGGCGATGGAATCCGAGGACTGTCTCTTAATGCAGCTCGCTATGCTTTGCTTCGTGTTGAAGATGGTCCTCCTCACACCAAGAACTGGAGGTAGAGTCCTATGTTTTCTGGAGTCACTTAATTCTTGAAATACAGAAATATATTGGAATACTGCTGGTAAAGCAGTGAAGTAGAGATAAAGTGAGATTGACCTTTAAAATAATGTTTTAACTTGGGCATGGCAATGATGTCATTGCAATACTACTATTTTACTGAAATGACATGTGACTTGTGGTCATCAGCTTTGTGGCAAACTAACTTGAACTTAAATCCATATAATGTTGACATGGTTTTCAAAAGTGCAAAAGAATTGTAATGCTTTATTATTTATAGATTTTTCAGATTCAAAGAAAGTTACCCTTGAATCTCACTGTGTCTACAGAAGAAACACTGCAATTCCATAAGTGCTTTTTTTTTTGTTTGTGTATATGTTCCCTCTGAAATACATTGTACAAATCTAGAGAGGGCCCTTTTTTATTTAAATTCTTTTTTGTGGTAGTCTTTTTATATGGCTTCATTCAATAGTAGCACTTTCTAAATTGCTTAAATGCCATTAAAAGAAAATCTCACATTTTACTGTAATGGAGTTAGATGTCCACTACTATTTTTGCAGTATTTTTTTTTTACTTGTTAAATTTAATTTTCCTCAAAGCCAACTTTAAAAGTTACTTAACATTTAAAAATGAAGGATGTTTGCACACTGTCACTTCTGATTAATGTAGTGTGATACTTTCATTCTAGTCACTACTCAGTGATAGTATCACAGGATGCATGCACAAGCAGTGTTCTGTTGTCCTTCAGTAGAATGGCATTACTTTACCATTTTTCCTGGGGCTGATGAACTTGGCATCTCAGAGATACCAATGTAATGTAGCGTTGACAATCCTGTTAAATATTTGACTGCTTCAGTTCCAAATGAGCTATATTCTTATTGTGTCAATATATTTGCTAGAACTGAATGATCTTGTTACATCTTAAACTATGCTAATTTTGAGGTAGGAAGTATGATCCAACTTGTCATCAGTCTTTTGAAATTGTAGCAATGACAGGAAAAATATAAAATGTTGATTTGGGAAAAGTAAGTACATTAAGTATTGATTAAAGGAAATAAGAGTGCATCCTTATCTAGTATGCAGTAGAAACTGAATTTTGGGTACTCTTGGTGTGATTAAGGGATAGACTGTCCTTTTGTAAGGACCTACGCAGGTCATTTGAGAACATTGTGAAAATCCAGAAGGATAACTGCAAGTTATCCTTCTATCCTTACCTGAATATGCCTGTGCCTGGTACAGGCATATTCAGAGCAGTGATACAAGACCAGGAAGCTGCTTTGGTAAAAAGGATCTGTGGTTCCCATTAGCTAGTAATCCAGCAGTGTGTCTTGGCAATGGCATGCTGGACAGGAGGACAAATAGTACATTGAGAAGTAAGTATATTGGGAGATATTTATTTTTGTTTAGCACTCATCAGAATACATTTAGAATATTTCTTCCATGTTTATATACCATGATGTAGGAATGACAAACTCGAGTAGATACGACCGCAGATGATGGTTGGAGCACAGGGGCATCTCTCCTGTGGGGAGGGGCTGAGGGGCTATGCTTATTCAGCTTGGAGGAGGCTGAAGGGGAGCCTAAAAATTGTAATAACTAACTTATAAACATGCAAAACCTAAAAGAAGGTTACTAAGAAGATGGAGTCAGATTTCTTACAGCAGACTAGGATAGGAGAATAAGAGAACATGATAAAATAATTAAGTACTGAAGAGGTGACCCAGAGGTTTGTTTCTAGTGGTTTTCCAAATCTAACTGAATGCAGCAGTAAACAATGTCCAGTGTTTAGTCATTTCAAGCAGCAGGTTGCACCAGATGACATTGGAAGAGTGATTTTATAATTTTCTAGGGGAAACTGGTGTTTAAGGGAGCTTTTCAAAATGACATTGTGACTATTTATGTATTCCGTACCTGAACTGTTGTATGTAATTGCAAATTATGGCTTACTTACTTAGGAGTTGGCTGTTTTCCATTGAATTAAGCAATTAATCTGCATTTTATTAATTCTTCATTTTAATTTTCCAGTTCTTTCTAATGAATATGTGTGTGTGCACTAAACTTCTTTTCCCTTTGTTTGGCAGACCTCAACTTCTGGTCTTGTTAAACTTGGATAATGAGCAGTCAGTCAAACACCCTAGATTGCTTTCTTTTACCTCTCAGTTGAAGGCTGGTAAAGGACTGACTATTGTGGGTTCAGTGCTTCAGGGAATCTATTTAGATAAATGTATGGAAACTCAGAAAGCTGAAGAGGTATGTAAAAGAGAGCTTGCAAATACTTGTAATTTACATTAGTATTTAAATGTTGAATCTGGATAGCTCATATATTTAATGAGAACAGACTGTTATAAAATGTTGAATAAAACATCTACTTTTGCTTTCAGTACAATCAGTGATTATATAAAAAGAATGGATTGGTGTATGTAGCAAAACGTTCTATAAATTTTTTTTAAGAGGATGACGCAACACTGATACTTTCTAGCTTTTTCTTTCCTATTGAGAGTCCTGGGCTTACAATGAAATTATATTAAAAAAAAAAAATTAACCCCCCCCCCCCCAAAAAAACAAACAAAAGAAAAAACAAACCAAGAAACCAAACCCCCCCCACAACCCCCCCAAACAACAACAACAACAAAAAAAAACAAAAAAAAACAAAACAAAACAAAAAAACCCAACAAAAAAACCCAACAAAAAACAAAATGCAAGCAAAAAAAACCCACAAAGGAAAAAAAAACCACACCAAAACTCGGCAAGCTTTAACAAATTGCCTTATAAAGAAAACAGCATATATTTGACAAAAAATTTAACATTTAACTAACAAATGCAAATGTTTGGCATAATATCATCCTCATGATGTGATTTTCTACATCCTTCCAGAAATACATATGAGAATTAGGATTAGGAGTACTCTTTGCCAGAAAACTGTGAACAGGATCCTTCTTGGGATCCTTTATTTTATTTTTCTATTTATACCATATCTCCAGAAAAAGTAGGATAGGTAGGAAAAGAAAAATTAAGTTGTCATATAATTTAAAATTTTTCCAACTATACCTACAAATACAAGTAAATTTGGTTTCAATTCAATTTCTTTAATAATAATAATAGTTGTATTTACTTGCCTATGCAAGCTCTCCTACTCCTATCTTTATAAGTAGGGAAACATTTGGAGGAAGTATCATGTTTCCTGTACTTTATTGAAATATCCAAAAGCTGGTTTTGATTGCCATTATATTTTCCATATTAGTTAATTTCTGCAGTGTTGTTCAAAAGAGTACCAGTTGATATGGCTACTATTTTGATCCAAGTAGCCTTTGAAACTGTGTAAAAACCCGTGTGATTTTTTCAGACCTGGTATCTCTTACATAGACAAGTATTTAAAATCTTGAAATGGACTAGCTAACATAACTAACTGCCCATTTCCTCACAGTTTTCCTTTTTCTTCCTATTGCAATTCAGGCTTATCCACAGTGGTTTCTATTTCTGACAAATTTTGGTTTTTTGTAAAATTCAAAATATTTATGTATTAGTTCTTCCTTCTGAAACATGTTGATCTCTCCCACAAGTCACTGATGATGATGGGGGATTTTAAAGTTATTTAATCAAAAAATAATAATTGCCAAAGCTCATGTTCCCTGGTCAAGCCTGATACTGGTTTGAATGCTTCTTTTAAATTACCTGGTTATGTGTCTTCATGTTTGTCAGTATTTAAATACAGGAGAGCTATTCTGAAATTAAAGGGGTGTGGGATACTTAATCTGGTCAGTTTATCTTGTCATTAATTGGACAGTGCTTCCAATTTTCTCCTGCACATCTGTTTTTCCATGTTGGGAGCTGATAAATAATCAGCCTCTTAATGTCAAAGGTATTTAAGGAACTTCGGTAGACTCTTATTTTTAAGTAAGTGGCATCACACTTCCAAACTCTTCCAATTCCAAAAGAAATGACTGATCGTTCCAACCATATGTTGCTTTGTCAGTCACTGGTTTTGACTTTACCTGAAGCAGTGTTACTTCCTTTAGCTTTATATATGTGTTTTTACTCATGTCTTATTCATTCTTCTTTGGAAGTAAAAGGCTGAATAATTAAAATAATGGAAAAACTGTGTGTGGTGTCTTTTGGGGTCGATGCAATTTGGGCTCTAGTTTTTATAGAATCACGTTCACTCTTTTGGAATTAGTGATTTCTTCATGTTGGTAATAAATTGTTGTTAAAGCTTTGCTATTATTTAATGCTGTTACTCCTTCTGATGTTAATTGTCAGTGTTGATGGTTTGTATTTCCTTATGTGTAATTTTCCTATTGCAGAATGTTAAGGCCTTAATGGGTGTAGAAAAGACAAAAGGATTTTGCCAGATTGTGGTATCTCCTAACTTGAGAGATGGAATATCCTATTTGATTCAGTCAGCTGGTCTAGGAGGGATGAAGCACAACACAGTCCTGATGGCATGGCCACAGTCGTGGAAGCAGACAGAAAATCGTTTCTCATGGAAAAATTTTGTTGGTATGTGTTTATTGACTTTCTCATTTGCATTTGTAATTCAACTGTGTGACTAATGTATTTGCTGTGTGGAGGAAATGTGCTACTGAACATCTGGTGGACAATTGAATCTGTATCTGATTTAATCTGTAGTGGGTTTTCTCAGCCCTCTTCAACCACAGGTTTGCTTTTTCTTCTTCTAAGCAGCCTGATCACTAAAATCAATGTCATGGTGTCATGGTTTGACCCTGGCACAGTGCCAGGGCCCCATGAAAGGTGTATTTCCAAAATGGTTACTGTGAGATGTGACCCGGAAACAGAACAAAGCAGGCTCCCACTCGGGGATGGAGGGAAAACCACAATACTTTATTAATTACAATATCTAAAAAGGAACACACACACAAAGCTAAGAAACTAAAACCCTCCAAATACGTTCCTCCTCCCCCCTCCCTTTTCTCCACTGATTCACCACCCCTCAAATAATCAACCCTCAAATCCATCAGGGAGAGAGGAGTCCTCCCTTGCATCATAGGCTTCCCCCAGAAGCACAATTGAAACCTCCTGTGTTTTTGTGTCACTCATGGCCCTACCCAGAGAACATTGACTTCTCATGACTTCTCCCCCCGCCCCATGTCCAGTGCTCTCACCACTGGACATGGGCCAGGACTGCTTTTAGGGTTCCCTGTTTGAAGATGCTCCACCCAGTTCCAGAAGCAGCAGTCTCTCAACTTCGGGACACCAGTCCCCGCCAAATTTCACCCCCTGGGGCCGAGGGCCCTCGTGAACAGAGATCTCAAACCCTCTCTGAAGACAGAGGGCATCTCACACCCTTCTCACCCATCTCTGTTCTCACAACTGCTTCACCTCTCAACTTTGGGACACCAGTCCCCCCCAAATTTCACCCCCTGGGGCCGAGGGGCCTCATGAACAGAGATCTTCCTCCCCATGGAGACAGAGGGCATCCCACACCCTCCTCAGCCGTCTCTGTTCACGCCGCTGCTTCACTCTTGACTCCCGGGTGTTGCCTCCCCCTAAATACAGTCTCTGGGTCACAGGGAAAAAACACGGGTCTGTCCATGGCCATACAAGAAAGAGTCCAGCTCAAGGCCACTCCATCATCTCTTCCCACCTAGGATTCTTCTCACCTCTTCCAGCTTTCTTCACGCTTGCCTATTTCATCTCTCATCTCTCTCTCCTCATTCTGATTCAGGAGGATCATTATTTCCATTATTCTACCAAGGGGTTAAAATCTTCGCCTCTTTCTGCCCAGGACTCCCACAGCTGCCGGGTACCTTCTCTCACCGCATCCCCCAGCTTCTGGCTGGCTGTGCTCCCAGCACAGTCTCTATCACTCTCTCCGGGGGGGCGGGGGGGCTGCCCAGACATCCCAGGTCTCTTCCAGCCCTGCACAGTCTCCTCCACCCCTGCACCTTTCGGGGGCTCTGGCCTCCTCCCCTCAGGCCGCATGGCCTCCCCCTCCCCTGCCCAGACGAAGCTGGGCAGGGGAGAGGTTCAGACTCCACTCACCCAACGCAGATTCCAAAGAGGGAGTTCTCCGAGAATCTCCTGCTTTTAACCCCTGTGTGTTCTCAGAGGCATATCCAAACCTCAGTGGCCATACCAGATGCCAATTTCAAATCTGGCCACTGATTGGTTTGACCTAGATTTTTCCAGAAACACACTTCCAGGCCAAACCATGACACATGGTTTAGGAATGTTGCTTGGCAATTTAGTGCTCCCTGTGAGACTTTCCAAATCACACTGCTGCTTGCCCCGCTTTGTCTTCCCTCACCCCCCTTGGGCTGAGTTGGAGAGAGAAATTGGAGGCACAAAAGGGAAAGATCACATATTGAAATAAGAACAATTTACTGGAAACAACAGTGAGATAAGAAAATGAGCAGTAAGCAACAGTGTTAATAACAGAAAGTATACAAAAGAGAGTGATTCGCATGCAAAAATGTCCACCACAGAGCTTGACCCAACCACAGCCATGCCACTCCAACCACTCCCTCTGGCTCAGAACTGGTGCCACTGGGCCATTCCTTCTGGCTTTGAACCGTGCCCATGCTTATTCTATCAGAAGAAACCCTTTCTCCTTGGGAGAGACTGCCTTAGCCCTGCCCCTGGCAATGACCTGAGATGGTATAGAATAACCTCTGGTCCTATCCATGCCTGGCTGTTTCAAAAATTAACCGTTATCTTGGCCAGAAGCAAAACATTATCCACCCCATATTTTATACCATTTATGTCATGCCCAGATCCCAGATCCTACCCCTTCCTATATATATATATATATATATATATGTGTGTGTGTGTGTGTATGTGTATATTTATGTATGTATGTATATGAATGTGTGTGTATATATATTAAAAAAAACCAAGTATCATTTCCACAGTCGATATCCATTGCTCCAAGATGTCTCTTGAGTCCACTTAGTCCACGACTGCAGGTTTTAAGTGTTTTCCAGAGCAGGAGAACTGGTTGCAAGCTGGATCAGGAGCTCAAAACCAGTGTATCTGTTGTAGTCCATGCTCACTGTCCATGGTTAAGTCCACTTCTCCATCACAAGCCCATTGGTATGTTGCATCTCATTTCCGATGACCTAAGATATCATTGGCCCACCGAGTCAGAAATAATTCAGCCTATGTTACCACCTGAGAGACTTCATTCTTGGCTGCCCAATGCACCTGTCCATTGTTGCAATGTTCTTCAATAGCCTGACTTTTGAGTACGTGGGCATCTACATGGCATGCTTTTACAGCCAACTTCTCTACCCAAGCAGCAATGTCTTGCCACAATTCAGCAGCCCAGGTGGCTTTACCTCTGTGCTGCCAATAGGTCTTTTTCAGTAGTTGTAGCCATCCCCACAGAACACTGACTACCATACATGAATCAGTGTACAGCTAGAGCATTGACCATGTCTTTTGTTCAGTGATACTTAAAGCCAGCTGGATGCCATTTAGCTCCGCAACCTGATTTGATCCACCTTGTCCCTCACCACATAGGAGTCCATACAGCAGCCTTCCATTTTCCTTGTATCCCTACAATATGACAGGAACTATCAGTAAACACATCATAACACTCTTCTTTTTCAGGTAGCTGATTATATGGTGGGGCCTCCTCAGCATGTGTCACCTTTTCCTCTTCTGATTTTAGTACAAAATTTTGTCTTTTGGTCTGGTTTGTTATGACTTCCAAGATGCCTGTGTAATCAGGGTTTCCTGTTCAAAATCACTGTGTGATCAGCATGACCCATTTACTTCACATAACATCAGTGGCATTATGTGTGGAAGGGATTTTCCCTTTGAACATTCAGCCCAGCTCTGGCAGTTGGGATGCCAGGAGGAGCTGTGCTTTGGTGCTAATCACTTCTGAAGATGCTTGAACCTCTATAATATGCAGTTATAATGCCAGTAGCCCTTTTTCAGTAGGGGTGTAACAGGCATCAGATCCTTTGTATGCTAGATTCCTGAACCCTAGGAATCATTTTTGAGTCTCCCCAGGTACTGGGGTTTTTTTTGCCAGAAACTCCAGGAAGAACTAATTTCCCCAGCTGCGGTACAGAGTGTATTTTTCACATCTTGTGCTGTCCTGATTTGCCAAGGGCTACTGCATGAACATTCTTTTGTTTCATTTGTTCAAAAGCCTTTTGCTGTTCAGGACTGTGTTGTTCAGGACTGCACTTAAAATCATTCTTCTTCTGAGTCATATAATAGAGAGAACTTATGATTTGACTGTGTTCTGGAATATGCATCTTCCAAAAACCCACACTGCCTAGAAAAGCCTGTGCTTCCATTCTGCTTGTTGGTGAGAACGTAGCTGCTGTTTTGTTGACCACATCCATGGCAATCAGATGGTGTCCATGTTGCCATTTTATTCTTAAAATTTGAGTTTCCTGGGAACGCCCCTTGATCTTACTTTGCTTTATGGCAAAACTGGCCTCCAAGATGATTTGGGTTATCTTCTTCCCTTTCTCAAAAACGTCTGCTGCATTGCCCCACAAGATGATGTAATCAATGTATTCCAAGTGTTCTGGAGCTTCATCCTTTTCCAGTGCAACCTTCCTTTCTTATAGCAGCAACTCTGTTCCATACTGGCAGAGCATGGGATATCTTCTTTCTAACTTGCTTGAGCTTTTCAAATCTGTCTGCAGTCTTGGACAGCCAAGGCATTGGTCATTAGGGAGGAAAAAGATGATCTTCATATTGTTATAGTCAGATAGTTGCCTGAAGCATTGTTTGTCCTCCTTTCATTGACATTAGTCCCAATGAGTTGGCATACAATGATGGCACACACTGTACAAATTTCTCCCATGTGGATTGTGTACAATGGACCTCATCTACAGAGGACTGTTTGTTATTTGAATCCTTATAGATTACGTTCAGCCCAGCTAATTCTCCTATGTACTGGATACCTTTCTCTATGGTGTTCCACCTGCACAGGTGCAGTACTAGGTCATCCTTGAGAAAATACCTTTCCTTCATGCTTGACAGGACTTGGCTCTGGAGGCTGAGAGTTTCTGTTTTCTTCCCAATCCCCTTGCCAATGCTGACATCCCAGGTCAGGGATCTCTTCACTACCATCTAGTTTTGTATCACAGGCAGCAATATCCCAGCATCAGAGCAGCTAAATCAGTAGGGGCTCACCTGACTGGTGGCTGAAATTTTTTTTGCATATCTCACAGCTCACCTGAAGATAGGGATTGGGTGATTATCTCTGACCCTGTCTGTTCCTTCTGTTGTGAGGTCTCTCCTTCCTTTTCATCCTTTACTAAGCGAACGGATTTTGTCTTTGATTACTTTTTCTACATAGGGGTGACTGCTACTGGCACAGGCTGTTCCTCTGGTTCAGCTGCAGTTTGAGTGGACACAGTGCCTGTCAGTCGGCCTTCCTCCTCTTCCCTCTGAGACTGATGTCTAGTATTATGGAGTGTCCAGTAAATAGTAGCCAAGGTCCAGAATGCTGCAAAACTTCACACCTCCCTGGAATTACTACACCATTTTTCTGTCAAGTATTCTGTTACCTTATCATGGTCCTGCAGTTGTTCAGGAGTAAAGTTCCAAACCACTGGAGCAGAATAATCCTTCAAAAGCTGGCCCATTTTCTCCCACTTGCCATGTTACTCATGATTATACACCCTTGGGACAGATCTCTGAGCAAACTCCTAAGAAAACTCCATCACTCTAAATGTGGTGTAGACTGAGGAGACCTGATAGACTTAGCACAAAGAATATGATTTCCTTAACATCCAAATGGAATTCAGAATTCTGTGAATATAACAGGCTGAAGGGGGTGTAAAAGGCCAGGAAAAGGGGATGAAAAGCTGGGGAAAATTATCCTCCCCCATTTCCCCCACAGGGCGTGTATAGTTAGTAAACATGCAAAGGTAGTACTCAAGATAAGAGTAGGAGAGCAGCAGTCAATATATATCCCAAATGATCGTTGTTGTCTTTGATATTATCATGTCATAAACTGACATCCCTCAGTATATCAGCAAAGAAATCCTGATCCCTCTTCCTACTCTGAAAAATATAATGAGGAGCACATACAGGAATATATGCAGGATTAGGAACCACTCCCATTTGAACAGACCAAGCAACATTGCAACCAATGGCTCCATACCTAAACCAAAAAATGACTAGATCAAATTTGGTCCAACCTGCTCTGGACAGTCTGTTGTTATCTCAATCCATTGTGCCTCACCTCAGACACCAAATAAAGATTGTTGTGGCTTAGGGGTTGTAGTCCCTAATATAGTGTTCCCACTGACACACTCCAAATCATGCTGCTGCTTGCTCACTTTTCCTTTTCCCCAGAGGCTGGTTTGAGAGGAGAATTGGAGGTACAAAAGGTAAAGATCATAGGTTAAGAACAATTTACTGGAAACAGCAACAATATTAATAGCAAAAAGTGTACAAAAGAGAGAATGATGCATATGCAAAAATGCTCACCATGAAGCTGCACCTGACGTGCCACCTCAACCTCTCCCTCGGTCTTGAAACTGGTGCCACCCAACCACTCCCTCCAGCTCAGAACCAGCTCCATTCTTATTGAACCAGAAGGAACCCCTTCTCTTTGGAAGATACTCCCCGCGCTTTCAGCAATGGCATTAAGTAGTGTAGAGTAACCTCTGGGTCCTAGCCACACTCCTCTCTGCTATTGCAACAATTAGCCTTGTCCCAGCTGGAACCAAGATGTGGAATATTCCTCTTTCGCCAAGACACCTGGGATATTGCTCTTTTGCCTCAGCAGAATCTGGGAGGGTTTAATCTTTTGAATTTAAAACAAAAGCAAAATCTGTGTAGGAAAGCTAGAAGTTCTTGATAAAATGTCTTGTTTTCCCTTACAGATACTGTACGAGAAACAACTTCAGCTCAACAAGCACTTTTGGTGGCTAAAAACATTGACTTATTTCCAACAAATCAAGAACGCTTTACTGGAGGAAATATAGATGTGTGGTGGATTGTTCATGATGGTGGTATGCTGATGTTGCTGCCTTTTCTCCTTCGACAGCACAAGGCAAGGACAACAGGAAATGGCTGGGATTTAATTTTCTAGCACTAAATGGTTCTAAACATGTCTAATTAAACACTCCACCTTGTTCAAATTATGCATGGTAACAGCAATCACAGTGTTACAAACTGTTATTATGTATCTTTTTGGTAGGTTTGGAGAAAATGTAAAATGCGTATCTTCACCGTTGCTCAAATGGATGATAATAGCATTCAAATGAAGAAGGATCTTCAGATGTTCTTATACCACCTTAGACTAAATGCTCAAGTGGAAGTTGTTGAAATGGTTTGTTATCCTATATTTTTAAGGTGCAACTGGGACGAAACTTGGGAAAACAGATTTGGCTTTTTTCAAATAAAGAGATATTAGCCCAAATATAGAAATTAAAAAATTACAGTCTCACAAAAACCAAGAAGTTAAGCATCATTATCTTACCATGTTACAATGCTGCTGTATGTGGTGGTGAGTTTAATGGGTTTGTCAAGTAGAGTTTGAGATGTTTTATGTGTTAATTCTTAATTTATTTATGACTACTAGTCCATAGAGCTGGGGCATTCAGAAGGAAAAGCTTGAATTTTTAGCAAGCAGTGAAATGGAAGGCTGAATGTGCTTAATCTAATAAACTAAGACATATGGTATGAGACAGGATGGACTTGTCTTTGTCTCAACTGCTGTAAGAATACCTCTCTGGAATAAGGAATCCCTAGGCTCAAATGCGAGTTGCTCTTTGTATCTCCAGCCTCAGCCAGTACTGAAAGCAGGACCTACAGTTTCACAAGTCAAGGTAGTGACAAAATGAATTTTGTAACTTTTTTCCTTTTTTAAAATATGGGTCATAAACTGTTTAGGAGAAAGGACAAAAGCTATACTCTGTCTCAGTCCACTTTTTTTGGAAACTAAGAATGTAATTTCCAGCACTAAAAGGTGACTAGCATAATGTCCAAATAAGACTCATGGGGAAAAAAGATAAAACCCAACCAAAACTTTTACTCATTCTGAAGTGAGATGAAGATGAGTAAACAGGTTGAAAACTTCTACTACCACTAGTTTCTAGAATCACCAGAACTTATTAAAAGGTTTATCATGCTAATTAATCATAAAACAATTTTAAGAATTGTTTTCATTACTTAGGGAAAAAATTACTTGTGAAAAAATTTACTGTTCTTTGCTTAGAGTACTAAATATGGAAGTCTCAAATGGTGTGGCATGTACAGTTAAAAGAACACAGAGTGCCAGGAAATGGCTCAGCCTTGGTTGAATTTTGATCAGAAGACAGTATAGAAAGTTGTGCTTGTTTCAGCTGGGGTAGAGTTAATTTTCTTCATGGTGGCTGGTATGGGGCTGTGTTTTGGGTATGTGCTGAGCACAGGGCTGATAATATCAGGATGTTGTTGTCATTGTGAAGCAGGGCTTACACAGAACCAAGATATATTCTGTTTTTTGTACTGCCAGACCAGCGAGGAAGTTGGGGGAGTTTGGGAGGAGACACAGTTGGGACAGGTGTCCCAAACTGACCAAAGAGCTATTCCAGACCATATGACATCATGCTCAGTATATAAGTTGGGGAGAAGAGGGAAGAAGGGGGGAATGATTAGAGTGATGCTGTTTGTCTTCTCAAGTAACCGTTATGCATGATGGAGACCTGCCCATGGGAAACAGTGAATTAATTCCTTGTTTTGCTTCCTTGTGTGCACAATTTTTTCTTTTCCTGTTAAATTGTCTTTATCTCAACCCATGTGTTCTCTAGCTTTTATCCTTCTGATTCTCTCCCAAATCCACTTGTGGGGGAGTTAAGAGTCTGCATGGGCCTTGGTTGCTGGCTGGGGTTAAACCACTACAGAAATACAATTTATTCTTTTCTTCTGTGGATAATATTTAATTCTGAGAATCTTCCAAAGGATAAGAGATATGTTACAAGTCAGTGACACTACAGGTGACTGCTATAGATTTTTATGTTGTATTTTAATTTTCAGCCAATATGAGAATGTGTGCCAGAATTTCTTGCTATGGCGAGAAATGGTTTTGTTTATGAATATTTCTCACTGATGAAAGGATAATGTGTTATTTGTGCCTAACATTTACAGTTTTTAAGGAAACAAGTGTCCGCACATGCTCAGGTGGCAGCAATGCATACCCAGTTTACATAAATGCTTTGAACTTTCACTTCTGCAGCCTAGTTGGAACAGAATAGTGGAAAGTCTGTTCCAAGTATCTAAATTTTAGATAAAATCACAATAATATTGTTACAGTAGGATAGTTCACACTATGAAATTTCTGTTGGAAGATTAGGTTTTAAGAATGAGGACAGAAATGATTGATCAATTATATGCTTACGATTACTCTAATGCCATGAATACATCCACCAAATGAACACAGGTACGAGAAATACACTCTCTAAATGTTGTTCTTCTAAGTAGTAGTTTTCTTCTGGTGTTACTAATGCCAATTTCTTTTGCAGTTTGAAAATGATATTTCTGCATTCACATATGAGAAGACACTTATGATGGAACAGCGATCTCAGATGCTAAAACAGATGCAGCTATCAAAGAATGAAAGAGAAAGGGAGGTAGGATCTTTGACTTGACAGGATGTTCCCTGAAAAATCTGAAAGTACAGTCTTCTGGCTGTAGCTTCTAATCAGTTTCTAACTAGTCAAAAACTTTCATAACTGCACGGTGTTTCTCTACAACCAGTTTTACTTGCAAGGTTAAAGTTATGTGGGGAAAAAAAAATTATTTAAACAGATTTTAAGAGTTTTCCAGTTTTTGTTGAGTGCAAGTGTTAATTAGCAAAACATTTGAGCATCAGTGTAGAATACATTCAGAGCCTTTCCAAACTTGACACCAGTAGCTAAGATTCATGATTACACAACTGGACTGATTATCTTTGATTGTGATTTGGTCTTAGGATCATAGAATCATTTATGTTGAAAAAGACCTTTACGTCAAGTCTGACCACTAACCTAATGCTGCCAAGTCCACCACTAAGCCATGTCCCTAAGTGCCATATCTACATGTTATTTAAATACCTCCAGGGACTCAACTTCAGCCACCTCCCTGGACAGCCTATTCAAATGCTTGATATCCATGAAGAAATTTTTCCTAATGTTCAATCTAAACATTCTCTGGTACTACTTAAGGCTATTTCCTGTTGTCACTTGTTACCGGGGAAAAGAGACCAATCCGCACCTCACTACAACTGTCTTCCAGGTAGTTGAATAGAGTGAGAAAGTCCTTCCTGAGCCTCCTTTTCTCCATGCTAGAGAACCCTACCTCCTTCAGCCACTCCTCATATGACTTTCAAATACACCACATTACACAATATAAAACAAATTTGTTCAAATCAGACTGGCTGTGTTTTAGTTTCTGCATTATTTTGAATGTTTTATGAATCAACTCTTTTTTTTTTTTTTGGAACCAAAATTAGCCCAACAAAGTAATCCTATAATATCAAGATGGAAATGCTGGTTTTGCTGCTCCCCTATCCTTATTATTTTGCATATTGTACCAACAAGCTTCATTCAGCTGTATTTTTATGAATATTTGTAACTTAAAAGTCCTTTGTTTTTGGCTTGTGCTTCTACCCCATCATCTGTTCTGCTAACTCTTTCAGTATTATCAAGACTTTTTAGTGATGTAGAAAATAGTGAAATAGTGCATGCTCTGGCTTTGCATCACATGAATGATTTCCATCCCATAGCAAACAAGAGCAAGCAAACTCTACTGTGTTTAATTGCTCATTTGTATAACAGTTAGATTTTTTTTTCTTATGGCTTTTCTTTTGTGGTGTTAATCATACAAGTCTGAGCACTTTGGGGTTTTTATGGTTTTTTCCTTTTATTTGTCCTCTGTATTCATTTTCCATCTCACAGGATTTTTTTTGAGGTTCCTAAAGATGCCTGCTATTGTTACAGTTTATTGCTGTAAAATGTTGTTCTTATCCATGTCATGGTAGTTTTCTTTCAATTTGAGCCTGCCTAACATCCTTCCAGTAAAAACCTCAAACTTTTCTGTACAACTGATTCTGTCTTATTGTTTCTTTACTGAACAATAGTATTTTTCCAATGGAGTTTGAATAATGTATCTGTTGTACCTATTGAGGGATTTAACTTCCACATGATTAGTAGAAGCTATTGCTCTGTATTCTATAGCACATAAATTGCAGAGGATATTAAATAATTTCTTCTCAGCTCTGAGCTGGTTGGAATCTGGACTATACTTCACAGTATTGTTTATTTGGAAGTTTTTATTTCTGTCTATTCCCTCCATATAATTTTCTTTCTTTATTACTCACTCCTATCTGAACTTTACCATCACCATTATAGCATCAGTTTCTTAATTCAAAATACCACTGAATTTATTTCATGGTCTGAAGTAAAACCCTTGATAACTCCAGGAACCTTTAGTACATACTGCCTTATCCAAAAATAAAAGTAATATCCATCTATTGTTTCTGATTAGGATATCTAAATCTACCTTGTTCTTTTGTATTTTCGTAAGAAAATGTGGTTTATTGAAGTGACCACCAGAATGTGGGCTAACTCTTAGAACTTCGGCGCAACGCCAGGAGTGGGGAACTGCCTCGGTATGGGGATTTACCAGAGGCAGAACCTTCAGAGCCACTTGCTCTAAAGTGCCAGACACAAGCCACAACAGGACCAGGCAGAGAAGAAAGGAAAGGCTCTCCATCTTGAGGTTCCACCAGGAACAGTTTATTCCAGATGAAAAGAGCAGGACAAAAAGCCTCTAGCTCTATTGTGCAAGGGATTTTCTTCAGATGCAAGTCAGGAGGTGGATAAAAACAGCTAACCAATAGGGAATCCTCAGGGGAGGAGTGAGGGGATTACATCAAGCTCCTGGGGCTTCCAGGAGCAGGGGAATTCCAAAGGAGTGTTGCAGACAGGGATTGGCTCGAGGTTTAAGTGGCACAGAAAGTTCAGGAGTCAAGGACTGGGTTTCCTGGACAGGCAGAAAAAGAGCTGGAACAAGGGGCAGGGAATGGCATGAGGGACAGCTTTGAGGGAGGGTAAAACCCAGGGGTAAACCAACTTGAGGAGAACATTGGGGTACAACAGAATGAACCACTTAACAAAGTATCTATAAAATAAATTCAAACTGCAACAGTTTATTTATGTCTTCACTTCCTCTGGAGCTACAAGGTTGGTGTATACACTCAGAGTACCTGCCCCATTCTTACTCTGATCATCTTTTTTTAAATTAGCTGAGCCATTCTTTTAAATTTTTTTGCTGATGTCCAAAACATTTGTTTTATTAGTATCACTAGTTCAAATTAGCATTGCTTTTTGTTTTAATATCTGTCTCCAGGCCTTCAAATATAACTTGGTATTCCAGTTTTGAATAGTGAGTGTAGTTTGGTTTCCTGTTACCACCAAGATTAGTACTTTAACCTCACTTTTGTGCATGTATGCCTTCAAACGAGGCTCAGACTTTCCTAAAGCAGAGACTTTGGTTTTGTACAGTGTTTATTTGCTGTTTTTGTCATAAGCATGCTTTTACCTCTGAGCAATCACCCTCACCCTCCCTTCTCCTGGCACTTTTTTAAAACAGAATTGATTTGATCTTGCCTCTGGGTTTTCTTGTAAAACTGGGGATCGAGCACTCACCAGCTTTTTGTTTACTTTTTTGGAAAACTTGGTCAATTTGGTTTTATGTAATATTATAAACGTAATATCTGCCTGCAAAGCATAACATAGGCAACTTAGGTGTAACTGGTAAATATCTATTTGACTTAGTCAATAGTGCTACAAAGGGGAAAGAAAATGTAGAGCCTCATTCCCTTTCTTGCTTCCGTTTTTGGTGGTTGTTGGCTTCTTTCTCTGATTAATCCTCACCAAGGACTCTTGGGCAAGGCAGTGATAATGGGACCTGTGAGAATGTAATAATATTTTGCACCAAAAAATTGTCTTGGGTTGTGCTGTTAGGTAAGATTGGTGGAAATTTGGGTACATGCAGGTGAGTGATGCATGGACAGATGACTCTTCAACTAATTAAACTTGAAAAAGTTGAAAAGAAGGGTGTTTATTGCTGTGTGCTGGACATATGTGGAATCGTTTCCAAATACATGTTCAAGGAGTCCAAGACTCCTGCTCTCTATGATCTGCTGGTCATGGTCCAAGCCTCTCCTGACTTTTGATTATTCTTAAGGCAAGGTATTTCTGTGGTCTGTCCTCCTTCACAATTGCTACGTGTATCCCTGTCACTTCTAATATATTTGTTCATTCTCTTTCCTAATGTTACTTTTTAACTAAGGTACTCCTATTCTTGCCACCTATATTACTAATTTAGCTTCTTAACTAATTTTAAAATCTTAACTAAAATATGCAATCTTCTACTATCCCAAATATACTCCCAGCCAGCCCCTCAACTCATCTACAGTGTTCAGTTATCCTAAATACGTTTCCAGCTGACCCCTTGACTCATTATAGTTTGTGAATGATTAGGCTTTGACAGTTGAAAAGTAGCTTTCTCACATGCTTTAATTTTTTAATGCTTTTGATTGTAATTGAGTGAAAAATTTCACCTGAATAAATACGTATATGAAAGGATGTGACCCTCAAAAACAAGTGAATATCTGAGCTTTCCATAGATACTGATGGATTCAATTTTCCTATAGATACTGAAGGCTTCTTGTTTTCAGAAATGTCTATAAAGGGACTTCACAACCAGCTACTAAACATTTAAAAATGGTCCCCCCGTTATCCAGGAGGAGGCAATCGGAGAACTGTTGAGCTGCTTGGGTATTCATAAATCCATGGGACCAGATGGGATCCATCCCAGGGTGATGAGGGAGCTGGCGGATGAGCTTGCAAAGCTGCTCTCCATCATTTACCAGCAGTCCTGGCTCACTGCCAAGGTTCCAGATGACTGGAAGCTGGCCAATGTGATGGCCATTCATAAAAAGAGTGGAAGGAGGATCCTGTTAATTATAGGCTGGTTAGCCAGACCTCAGTACCTGGTAAGGGTATAGAACAGTTTATACTGAGTCTCATTACACAGAACTTACAGGATGGCCAGGGTATCAGACCCAGCCAGCATGGTTTTAGGAGGGGTAGGTCATGTTTGACCAACCTGATCTCCTTCTATGACCAAGTGACCTGCCTGGTAAATGAAGGAAAAGCTGTTGATGTTGTGTACCTGAATTTCAGCAAGGCCTTTGACACTGTCTCCCACAGTATACTCCTGGAAAAGCTGGTAACCCATGGGCTTGGACAGGAGCCCTCTTTGCTGGGTTAAGAACTGGCTGGATGGCTGGACCCAGAGAGTGGTGGTGAATGGTACTGCATCTGGTTGGTGGCCAGTTACCAGTGGTGTCCCTCAGGGGTCTGTACTGGGACCAGTTCTGTTCAATATCTTTACTGATGACATGGATGAGGGCATTGAGTTTCTCATTAGTAAATTTGTGGATGACACTAAGCTGGGAGCATGTGTTGATCTGTTGGAAAGTAGGAGGGCTCTGCAGAGAGACTTGGAAGGTTGAATGGATGGGCAAAGTCCAACAGGATGAAGTTTATTAAATCCAAGTTCTGCATTTTGGCCCCTGTAAATAACTCCCTGCAATGTTATAGACTGGGGATGGTGTGGCTGGACGGTGTTCAGGTGGAAAAGGACCTGGGGTACTGGTCAACAGCCAGCTGAACATGAGCTAGCAGTGTGCTCTGGTGGCCAAGAAGGCCAATGGCCTATTCCTGGCCTGTATCGGGAGTAGTGTGGCCAGCAGGAGCAGGGAGGTCATTTTCCCCCTGTATTTGGCACTGGTGAGGCTGCATCTAGAGTACTGTGTCCAGTTCTGGGCCCTTCAGTTTAGGAAGGACATTGAGATGCTTGAGTGCATCCAGAGGAGGGCAGCTAGGTCAGTGTGGGGCTTGGAACATGAGCCCTGTGAGGAACAACTGAGTGAGCTGGGATTGTTTAGCCTGGAGAAAAGGAGACTCAGAGGTGACCTTATCACTCTCAACTTCCTGAAAGGTGGTTGTCATCAGGTGGGGGGGGTTAGTCTCTTTCACCAGGCAGCAACTGACAAGATGAGAGGACACAGTCTCAAGCTGCATCAAGGGAAATAGAGATTGGATATTCTGAAAAAGTTTTTCATGGAAAGAGTGATAAAGTTCTGGAATGGTCTGCCCGAGAAGGTGGTGGAGTCACCATCCCTCAATGTGTTTAAAAAAAGGCTGGATATGGCATTTGATACCATGGTTTAGTTGAGGTGTTAGGGCATGGTCAATTGATCTTGAAGGTCTCTTCCAACCTAGTCATTCTGTGAATTCTGTGAAAAGGGCTTTATGAGCTGATACTACATCTCATCTGTTAAAATGAAGAATAATATGATATCTGCTTTTTTTCTGTAGTCTTTTCTTTTGTCATTGATAAATTTTTGTCCCAGATTCAGAGCATCACAGATGAGTCTCGAGGCTCAATTAGAAGAAAAAGCTATTCCAGTCCATTGTCCATTGTCCAAGATGCTCAGGCACTGCTGACTAATGATTATCAAGAGGAAGAGGTAGCTGGACATAGTGCTGACTATGACTAGACATATTTTCTATTGCAACACTTCAAGTACCACTGTGGAGAACTGAACTACACATTAACTACAATTTTTTCTAAAGTAATTATTTTACCCTGTATTTCATGTCTTTAGATGATGCTTCTGTGACATGAACTATATTCTCTTTCTCACACTTATTTCACATAAAAGAGAAACATTTCTGAGATTGCCTGTTTTCTTAAGAGCCAGAAGCAGGGTGTTACATTAATAAACATATTTCATGCCTTCACAAACCATTTACTTCCTTTACAGTTCCTCTATTGAAGTACTGAAGATTCTCGGAGACTGTATTGATATGCTAAATCTTTTAAGGAGCGCAAGCCATTTTTATTTGCAGGCTATTATTAACCCATATGTACTTACTGTATTCTGTGGGGTGACATTGAAAGGAAATGGACGGATGTAATCAATGAGTTTAGTGTGCCCTTGAAGTGTTGCTCATATGTAAAATATGTAACCTAGTTTGTAGAGGTGATATATACCTTTTATTTCCCTTTCATCACGGAGTGAGAGAACAACCTGTTTTGTTTCATTAATTGAATTTAGTATCAAAATAGGACTAACAAAAATGTTCTTTTAGTGTGATTGCATTTTTATAAACATGTATCATAGGTCCAGAATTTCTCTTGGTCTCGCTGTCTTTCTAAAAATGGCAAATTTTCTTCCATTGAAGCATAGTTGTACTGAACTCATCTTACAGTTGTTCCTTTAAAATTTTAGTACATTGGATACTGCTGCATGGTATTTACAATATTGGCATGTATTTGTTAGCTTTCTTGATTCTTGTGACAGAACTGTATTCACAGTAACTTCTGATTTGTGGTCTTGACTCATCATTTAATCATCTGTGAATGTAGAAAGACCATCATACTAAGAGATATTTATGCAAACCTCACAACTGAACTCCAGAATTTGGGAATCCTGAAGAATAGGGACTAGGAAATAATTTAGGGAATATACCGAAGCTCAAAGGCATTTAAAATGACCTGCAATTACAGTTTTTAAACCACTAGAGGAATTGCTTTTCTGAGAACGAAAGTAGAATTCTCATCTGCTTGGATTCTATTCATGGTTTTTATTGACCTGCACAAAGTTCTTAATTACTGGGTATGTGGAGGGACCATGACTATGTCTAACATGTGAATAATTGAGGTTCCCAAATGGAACAGGAGCTTCAACTCATGATTTAACAAGTCTCTGAGTAGATTTCAGAACTGTTAAGTATCTTAAACAAAAACAAACAAACAATCACAGGATAAAAGAAATACCACCTCCAAAATAGAAAATTTCAAAGCACAAAAAGAATCCTGTCTCCATTTACCACTTAACTTATAATTTTTAGGATCTAAGGTATTGTATTTGTGTTGCATTTGATGGAAATAGAGAAGCCTATGGACAAGGTGTTATGAAGGAAAATAAATAAATAACGTGTTAAATATTTAATCTTCTTTTCCTCCAAAGAAGCCAGGAGAATGGAAAATAGAAAACACAATATTCTTCCCATATGCATATGTGCTTTTTTGTTCTTGAAGTTGATTAGAGTTTCTACTGTTAAAAGGGAAGAGAAGACCCCATCATGGCTACATTGGTTAGATTTGTTATATGATATGCTCTTGTAGGCATAAATAATCTAAATCTATAACTAGACTTCAACTCAGCCAGTCCCATACTGGCATCAGAGATTCATGTTGTAGTTTAGCTAAAGGCATGTGAAATGGACAAAGTTTATAACAATATCTGAGAAAATAATGTAACTTGTGAACAATGAGAATACTTTAAAGTTTTTCATTGGCAAAACACCCTGTTAATAAAGTACTCTCTGGTGGAATTCAACCTCACTTTAGTTCATTACAAAAGTAACATTCCATGTAAGATATAGTCTTGCAAATGTAAACAAATATGAACATTTTTACAAGCAATTTCACTTCATGCTGAAGTCACAATAGTCTCATATTTTTTCACAAAGTAAAGGTGCCTTTTTCTTCAGCTTCTTTGGTTCTACCACTGTGAAACTCCTTTTCAAAATTGTAATAACATGTAATTTACAAATGCTGGTTTTAGCTGAATTTTGGGGTGATTATTTGTTTTGTGGCCAGGCTCAGCTGATCCATGATAAAAACACTGCCTCACGCTCTGCTCCAGCAGTTGAAGCAAGTGTGGCTGCTGCTGTGCCAGAGAAAGTGCAAATGACCTGGACAAAAGAAAAGTTTGTAGCGGAAAAGCATAAAAACAAAGATTCCAATGTGTCTGGCTTTAAAGATATTTTCAACATGAAACCGTGAGTATGCATGTGGTATTTGGAGGTTTTGATTTCATTGGAGGTATTTTATTTCATTTATTTCATTTGGAGGTATTTTATTTCATTTATTTCATTGTATTTAAAATACATTGTATGTATTTTAATTGGGGGGAGGAGGTTCTAGTTTGTTGTTTTATCTGGGTTTTGCTTTTTAAGAGATTCTGCTTTATTTAAAATTGGATACAAAAATGAGCTTTTCATGCACTTACCTTAAATGGCATCCTTATAAAAATAGCATAGACTTGGGTGGAATGACTGTAAAGAGTCATTCATATTCATTGTGAGTGAAGTTTAAATATGACAGCCTTTAAGCTGTTAACTTCTGGATTGTACCAGAAAGCATATGTGTTAAAAAGCTTAATGATAACTTTTTATTTCTTGCTGTGGGTAAAAAATTAGTGTATATGTCCCTGTATTTTTATTGTGTTTAGAGGGAGTTAGGGGGTATTAGAGGGAGTTCCAAAGAAGCAGATAGTCTTTCAAAACATTTAGCTTATGTTTTTGATTTTAGGTGCATGATTTTGGGTGTGGGGTGTGTTTTCTTGGGAAGAGCAGGGTGTGGGGTGTTCTTGTTTGTTTGTTTGTTTGACTGGACATTCAGCCCTCATCCTGTAAATTAAAGAAATATAAAACTTGTGTAAATATATATGTATTGCTATATTAAGTATTTCCTGTTTAAATATTCCTTAATGTCTTTTTCTTAAATAGATAAGAGCTACTCCCTATATCAAACTAATGTAGTAGACACAAAAACAATGACAGAGGGGAATCAGCTTGTTTGTTTCCTCATGTTGGGTTTTTAAGCATGCACATAAATATTTTCTTAGTTCTGCAAGAAGACTGCACTTAGAAGCACAGTTTAAATTATTTTCTGCAGATGACCAAACCAAAACTGTGGATGTCAAAGGAAATTATTGTGCTCATGCTCTAAAGTACTGTCCCAGGCTGCATTATACTCTTAATGATTAGGGTTTTTTTAAATTTTTATCTTCGAAACTTTTCTTTTTACTGCTTTAGAATTGTGCAAAACACTGATTTCAGATATTATTATTTTAAGACTACTATGTCTTAAAATATAAAAAAAACCCTATGTCTTAGTTGGGTAGAAATTACAGTTCAAACTTGGTGTGCCTGTACAGTATATTAATATTATTGACTTTAAAATATACCTGATGCCATATTTTTTTTTCTATGCATTTGCTTCCCTTTCACATAGTGAATGGGAAAATCTGTAAGTCTAAATTTCACTTCACCTAAACAACATAGGCTGGGTTCTCTGGTTCTTGTGTTCTTTTATATTGTATGCATGCTTCTAAATTGTAATTTGCAATGCATGTATTTTTTTGTTCCTTGTTTAATATACTGTGATTTAGCATGCCCCTGAAAAAATATCATTGTGACTTTTTAATGTTCTCTTAAGTATGATCAACTTTCTATTCAAGACAAGTCACAAAACCTGTGTTATAGTTTCTGTAAGAGTATAAAACTTGACAGTACTTCTCTGCACCAGCATAATATTTAGTGTTCTAACTAACTACATTAAAAAATGATTTTTTTTTTCTGGAAGAATAGCCTCCCATTGTGCTATAACTACTTAGACAATAGGGAATATTTGTTCACAAAGGGAACTTTCATGTTTCATCAAAAGTCAGTTCTTGCCTACCTTCTACCAGCCCATGCATATGTAGAAATAACATAAGTTCAGACATACATTGGGTATGACAGCACACAAAAATGGAATACTACATCTCTTGAGTGGAATTAAGTTGACTGCCCTGCTTTTTTCAGAGTTCAGGATTTCCTTAATTTTATCTGCTCAACAAATTGAGCTTCTTATAAAATGTTGTAAGTTTAGTTTGTCTATTGTGTATGACTTCAGTTCTACCAGTGCTTGAAGGATAAGTGATGTTAGCCTCAGTTCACATTTTACACACTATGAGCTATTTCAGTGCTGATTTTTTGCCCATTCTGTCACAAAGTTACACCCTGCCTTTTATTTTTAGTTTAACAATGTTTCAGTTTCAATATTTATGCATCTCAGTTATACAATCTTGCCTCTCTTCATAGTTCTTTTTAGTCTTCTCAAAATGCAGTTCTGCTTCTAAAAAATGGAACTTCAAGCTTTCCTTCGTTCCATATATAGGTTTTGTACAGTTGGTTCTTAGGATAGCTGGCCACCGTGATAGAAAATCCCCCAGGAGGGATTGATAAACTCAGTTTTAGAAATATCATTCTCTTGTTGCAGGGAAGATGGGAGGTGGCAGAGCATGAAGAATCAATTTAATTGATAGGGCTGGTTTCCCTGGCCAATAAATTTCAGGCCAAATGACTTTTAACTATTTATTTGGGAAAAAAACAAATCCAAAAACAACCCCTACTTTTAGGCAACAGATCTTTTAGATAAATGGAGTAAGGTAGAGTTTGAATATTTTTGTCACACTGTAGCATATGATTAATTTCCAGCCTTGGCTAACTCTACACACAGCTGTTTCTCAGGAACTGTAAGGAAACTATTCTTTTGTTCTTAAAAACCACTGAACCATACAAAAGAGATACTAAAATAAGGACATTTTAAAAACCCTAGCAATTTTTTTTCTTCTTGTGCACAGATCTACAACAATTATATTTTCAGGTTAAACACGGAAAATACTAGGTAATGTTGATAATGTAAAGAAATAAGCTCAATTTCAGTTCACTGCTTACTGCCATACTGTTGCAACATAAGAAGTTAGCATTTTTTTCAAAATTCTGTGGTGTTTCTGAATTTTCTTCACCAGCTGGTAGAAGTGTGTAATGTTTCCAAAGGAGCATGAGTAAAATCTTTTACTGTACAACATAAATATTGTGATCTTTTCATTGCATTCCCGTAATTTCATTGTTTGGAAATTCTTGTGTAAATCCAGTTATTTTTTATGTAAGTCAATAAACGAGATTCTTAGTGGTTCTTGTCTGACCTGTAATACCTATTGAAACCAAGTTTTTGATTCATCTTGGTACAAGATAATTGACAACTGGAAGATTTGTGCATTTTGATAATTTACTTAGAACTGCTTGAATTTCAGAGTTAAATGTTCTTGTCAAAGGTGTTGCATTTTATTTATTTTGAATATGTACATATACTAGTATCCATGAAAATAGCTTGTTTTACATACTTATAATTTCAAATAAATATTGTATTATTCAATTATGTGTTATAACAATGCTTAAAAATGTTTCTTTGCATGCTAGGAATCAGTCAAATGTGAGAAGAATGCACACTGCTGTGAAGCTCAATGGAGTAGTGCTTAATAAATCACAGCATGCTCAGCTAGTACTCTTGAATATGCCTGGACCTCCTAAAAACAGAAAAGGGGATGAAAACTGTATCCTCTACTGTATTGATTCCATATTTCTTGAAATTGAGAATTCACTTTTGTGATACTGCCATTACCTGTTGGGATAACCATTACTAAGTATGGTAAGCATAAGTCTGCCTATAAGAAAATTACATAGAGACAGTTAAAAAATAAAAGATAAAAAATCTTCGTTGGGGAGGGTGGTTTATTGATATAAAGGATTTCCCTGACTTTGAAAGAATTTTAAAATTTCCTATTCTTTTTTTTTTTTTTTTGGTAGGTGAGTAGGGCAAAACTAGGAATTTCCCCCAAATTAGGCTTTACTTCCACTTGAATAACTGGGTAACAGGACAGTAAAGGGTGACACAGAAAAACTCTTTGATGAAATTGTTGAAATCTATTTTTGCATTATATGTCAGAGTTTTTGAGAGATTACTAGATACTTCGTTTCTCTTCTGAGTAAATTCCTTGACCAAATGATATTTCAGACATGGAATTTCTGGAAGTTCTGACAGAAGGTCTAGATAGAGTTCTTCTAGTCCGAGGCAGTGGACGTGAAGTGATCACCATTTATTCTTAATCTGTTTGCATGTGTTTTTCAAACACAACACATCCCCACCATAAGAAAGCAAAGTTTTTTGCCATAATTTGAGCAGCTTCATTGTCTTCTAGTGCATTGAAAATTAGCTTCAAGCTGAATCTTCTGATCATGTGTTCTTTTTTTCCTAGTAAGATGTTCTATTGAAATAATATTTTAAGCAGATTTATGTGGAAAATTAATAAATGGTGAATTAATAAATTGTGGATGGCTTAGGATATTTATATGTAGCATATTCTGACACTTCTAAAGCTGTGGTAAAACAAAATTTGGTAATGCAATCATATTTTTAAAGATACAGAAATGTCAGCAACTTTTGATTATTTTAATCTTTGCTGTGCGTCTAAATAAAAGGCAAGGGTGTTAGAAAAGGTCGTCTTTTTTTCTTACCAAAATGCTGCTATGTTGCTTCTTTTGGAATTAGTCATGGTTCAGGAACCTTCCTTCAGAGATGTATACAGCCAGTGAAATTTGTTCATGAAGTGCATTAAGTGTTTCCCAGAAGTTTGTTATTTGCCATACCTGTTAAAAATAACATTTCTGTATTTAAAATACTTAGGTAGCTGAAACCTCCAGATGATAGTAAATAGTGAGTTATTTTCTATGAGGTACTGGCAGTTATATTTTGCATGATTATAGCAATAATGAAACATGAGTGCATCCAACTTATAGGAAGGCTATGGTGCAGGAACTCCACCTGGTCCCAAATATAATTCAACAGTTAATAAACTACAACAAGGTGATTAATGAAATGCAGTCTCTTGTTTTCAAATATTTGTATTTTGAAAATGTTGTATGTATGTGCTGCTGTTTGAAATAAAATCTGCTTTTCTAAACTGAACAAGCTCCTAAATGTTTTTAATTTGAAACTGCTGAGTAGTTTAGTTTAGGTGCTCAATAGAAACCTTTTGCTGCTGTTACAATTCTGTTCCTTTTTAGGCAGTCTTTAGCTTTGTAAGTGTTAAGACCTAAAGTGTATCAGAAGATTGTTCTGCTCTAAAAAGAATAGGTCTGTTTAAAACATATAAACCATTATTTTATTTTTTCTTGTTCTTATTCTTTTATAATACAATTAAGATGTCTGTTGCTCAGACTAGAACAAGAGTGATGCAGTGCCCAAGTCCCTGGCTAGGCTCAAGGCCAGTGTTTTTATCATAACACTCAGGTGAAGTAAGACAAAGCCATAAACAGCAAAAGCTGAAAGCAGCCATTACCTGTCCCTGTAGTTTGATGCACAGGAACAGAGGGAATAAAAAGGTAATCAGGTGGCCCAGTGAACTCCTGATGAGTCAAAAGCACAGCTGCGATACTTCAAAAGGCAATTGGAAAGGTGTGCTGCACACCACTCACTGTGACTGCAGCTGTATGCCTTTGGTTAGGAATAGGTTTATGCGTAAGCACTCAGAGGTACCTTGGGGACACACCAAAGATGCTCCACAGGCTCTTAGGTACAATGAAAGGCACATGGAGGTCCTGTGGACAGATCAGGAGGCATGTGGAGGTTCTAGATTTGCACAGTATATCAATTGAATTAAAAAAAATATTCTCAGGCCAGTGAGGAGAAGAAAAACATCAGCAGATGCCCCTACTGCACTCCAGATGGCTCTGAGCTTTTCACGGGACATATTAAAAGGCACTCCATGGGCTATGGTGCGGGGCCATCAGCAGGCATTTATAGAACTGATATGTGTGGTTTTGGGTTGGAGACAGACACATGACACAACACCAGTGGGTCATCAGCAAACCACAATGAGTTTAATATGTCTGCCCCTTTTATAGGGGCTTTGGATTCCCCAGGCTCAGATAGTTGTTTGGATGACCTCTGTCTGCCCAGCTCTCTGGCCATGGTGTATCAGCTTCTAAGCTAGATCAGGGTTGGCTGAAGTCTTTGTTTGGGTTTGAATCCAACCTATCTGTGCCTTATCCAGGGACTTGTTTTCTTCTAGGTTGGTTGAGTTTAGGAGTCAGCTTCAGATCAGCTGCAATGTAACAACAGACAACTGCAGATAGCTCGTAGTAAAAGGAATTATAAACATTTAGTTTAGAGATAGGCTTTCAGAGGCATCTGGGACCTACCAAAAACTCCAGGAGTTCCCTTAGATGCAAGGCAAGACTGACAGGTTTCTGTGTGCATACCAGAAGGCATTTGATAAGCTTGTGGAAGTGGTAGAGAACAAACCTTCAACCTGGAAAGTACAAAACATGAACTTAGACAGGAAGTTTTGAAGATCCAACTTCAGAAGAAGATAGGCTTCTGAGACACTGATATGGGCTTGTGTGTTACAGGGAGCACCCATGCTGTGATGGAGGAGGACGTACAAGCACATACATATCAGCTTCATTTTTTGAGACTTGCTTGTAAGCGCACAGTATTAAGAACTATGGGCTATGGGTTATCAAAAACTATGATTTAAAGCAGTAGACAGGTGGGATAGTCACATGCAAGACTAGTGAGGGCAAAATGCCATTGAGGCCTTTTTCTGGTGATAGTTTGTTGTATTTCCTAATGATCTCATAAGAAAGAGTTACAGGACAATTTTAGACCTATTCTCACTTGCAAATCTGTCTCCTGCAACCTTTAAATATGTCAAGAAGTGAGGTAAAAATCCATTAACTTAGGGCAGTAAACATAGATCATGGGTAGTATCAGCGATGATGAGAGAGACAGGGAGACTATAAGATGGTCAAAAGAATCCAAATTTATTGTGGACTATCTTGCTTATATACTATTTTAGGAAGACTAGTAATGTTTTAGTACAATGGGTTAATCATCACATAAACAAGTACATTTTACAACATTTCTTGCTTGCAGAAGTCTTGATGTCATTTTCTTTCCTGATAAGTGAGTCTGATTTAATCTTATTGCAACCTACAAAGCTGTTTCTTCTTGCCAAGGCATCTTGATTATCAAATCTCTTATGCTAACCAGAGTCCATAATCTGTCTTATGTGTCCCAATATCTCCATCTTTTCAACCAAAACCACTCCTTTAATGGCCTTATTAATTTATCTCTGCATATATTGAAATAAGCAAGTTATTAACACACAAAAATTATCACATACTTTTAGCTAAAAACCTTAGCCATAAAGGCTTAGGCTTGATCTTTTAAAATATTCCTGATGACAGCTGCAGGGGGAGCATTACTGGATTTAGAAAGTCTGTCAGAAATATAATTGCACCAAAAGGTTTGATTCTTATATACAAGGTGATAGGGAGAAACATCCCAAGCTTTAGAATTATTTCTTCCTGTGTATTTAAAATTAACACAAAAATCCAATTTCACAGAACCCGGGCTCTAATTATTTAGAGTTCTAAATAATGTAGGGTTCTGAGTGTGTTTCGGGAGGGTAAGGGGTCAAATTGGATTTGATTTGATTTCAAAATTTTTAGTGCAAATATTAGTGTAAAGTTCTGGAGGAGCTATATTCCACCCTAATTTTTTTGGTTTTTAATAACGTGTGTTTCTCATTATGAACATTGTTATAGGTAAAAATCAATACAGCCAATTTAATAAAAATAAAAATAAGATTTATTTGCGACCGATATACAGTCCCGACAGCCAACAATCAAGGAGAGCACCGACCCCAGGATTGGAGCTGGATGAACAGATTTGGCCTCTATCGCACCATACCCCTCACAACTGCGGTTTTTATACTTTTTTTCTGGCCTGAGGCAGGGTCTCCTCTTGTTCTTTTCATAGTAAATCATATTCATGCTGCCTCCTTTCTTTGAACTGAAGAGTACAGTTCCTGTCCACCGATGAACGCAGGTTGGGCATATTCACGTGGACTCCTTTCTTTGAGCTGAACTGAATAATTCAGTTCCTGTCGACCAATGAACACAGGTCAGGCATATGTATGTTGTTCCTTCCTTCGTGTAGTGTTGTACAATACAATTCCGGGCAGACAGCAATAGCTGCATTTGGAGGCAATTCTCTGAATGGTCCTCACTGTCTTGATCTCCCATATGTGCAGGTGGTCCCCATCCTGGCTAGGCCCTTTCGATTGCAAATTAGTTCCCTTCCTGCTTAAGACTGTGATTTTGCAATGGTCTGTGGTCTTCCTGTAGCCTGTGGGATTATTTGGAATCCGCATGTAAGTTTAAATCATCTATATCTATTCCTTCTAAAACATCATAACCTATATTTATTTCATATTCTGAACAGCATGAATTATATATGTATATGACAACATGAAGGCAACATAAAAGCAAAACAATAAAAACAATAAAATTATACTAAATAAAAATAAATTGGATAATATATACAATTAGTAATACATGAAAAGTAGAATGGTGATTTAAAACAATGCATTATCAATTTCTTAAATATTGTACTGTTACTTAGAGTTTGTAGTAATTGGCAAGCTTCCTTTTAAAGTGAGAGCTTGGAAAACCATTCCTGGGTAAGATTTCCAAGATCATTTCAAAAGGAGGTTTAGCTATTATAGGTCTAAACTTGGCAAGTCAAAATTACTTGAGTAAAGTTTTGATGTAGAATACACTTAGGTTTATTGATTTATTTCCCTACTAGTTAAGGCCAGGACTTGTCTGGGGTCCAGGCTTTAACTAGAAGAGTCTTTTTAATATCTGTTAAAAACCTCAACGTAATAGTAGTTAGAAAATTTCTTTAAAATAATACATGTCTTATAAATAACTATTTAACAGTACGTGGAGGTCAGCTGGCTTTGTCATTTATCTTCAGCTAAATAGTAGTAAATAAAAAGGCATTAAACAGCTTACAACTGATAGCAGTCATAATATGAAATTGTTACTCATTCTTTAGTACTACTTATAAAAATAAAATAGCAAAAACTGTTTTTATTTCTATAACAAGGTAGCTGTATCTTGCAATTTAAATGAGCAAATTCTGACAAAATTAATTTAGGCTTTATGTCGTTCACTTGTATAGCAAGTGGGCATAGCTGTGGGTGGTGTGAACAGTGCCTAAACTCAGGGGGAGGTTCCTCACTTGGCCCCTGCTGTAGGGCGGGGGCAGTGGATGGGAAGATGGCTCTGGCCATCTGGTACTTGGCCAGGTGATCATTTGCCACAAACTGGCAACAGTAAGTGCTCTCACTGAAGTGCATCTGTTCTTTTCTGATTGGTAAAGTCAATTGTCTATGTACTAGCAGCAGTAGTGTGCAAAGAAACTTCCTTAATATTTATCTTTTTGTGTGTATTTATTTTTTTTTAACAAGTGACTGTGGCAGTTACTTTTTGCCATCACAATGTTACGGGGTTTGTTCTAGAAATGTGTACACTCTATAAAAAGTCTCTTGGTTTTGTTTACAGAGCTTGTGAACAAATGCATAGGTTCAGACATTCATATTGTAATGAAAAATGATTAAAATATTGTTGGAACATTTCTCGGATTTGATGACTTTTTCAGTATCCTTTAATGGAAACAGTTAAGGTCATCCGCTTTATGCTTTGGCTTAAGTCGTTAACTGCTTTTGAGATATTTGAGTTCATTAGCTAGAACCATTTTCTATGGTTTAGTTGTGAGAGGAATGAGGGATTTGTCTTTACAAACCAGATGTGGGTCTGCTAGTAGATAAAACTAGAGCTGAGAGATGAAAGAAACAATGGGGAAAAACCCAAAATTCCATAAGAATTAAAAATTAAAAATAAAAATTAAAAATTATTAAAAAGTAAAAATTAAAAGGGAGGTTTACTACATTAGAGGGAAATCTTTGGTGTTAGGTGTTTCTGGAAGTCTGTACCTCTCAAGTACCTCAGCCAATGGGGAAAGAGAGAAGGGAAATGCGGCTGGGAAATTAGCATAAAAGGGAGGCTGCATCCTCCAAAAATTTGAGAGAGCCCAGGGCAATTCCCCATGGC